AGAGCATCGTAGCAAACCCCGTAGAGACCATGGCCACCTATGAGCCTCTGATGATATGGCAATACGTGTGCCCGTATATATGTACTTACCTAGCTAGTACGTGCAGGCTTAGCGGCCGGCGATACCAGCAACGTCGAATCCTCGTCATCGTCGGCCACCACTTCATGCAGTTTTCAGCTTCATCCTGCAATTGACTCTCTCCATCATGGACTTTCCCTGGCCATCACATCGAAAGTCTCTCTTTGGTCTAGACAATCCTAGCCATCTCTTTGCTATGTGCCCATGGCCCAGGGGCTCCATCGAACCCACATCAGCTGTGCCATGGCACGCCTGTCAGCACGATCGCATATCCAGTCGACCTAATAAGTAAAGAATACACGTCATTTCCGCTTGTCATCGGACGCGGGATAGAATTGGCCAAATGGCCAAATATGCTGGCTGATTCTGGAGATATCTCATGACCACCGAGTCTCATCCGTGGGTGCACAGTCCCACTTGACGGGCTTTGGTCCACCTGAGCTTGAAACAGCCTTAGGTACTCATGGCTTTCCCGTATCCCTGTACTCCATACCAGGCACGAGTGTGTTGCCCTTCGTGCGTCCGTGCGGGTTGGTTAGTGCACAGTAACTCGTATGTGCGACATCACGGCCAGATGTCCCTATAAATCGTACGAGATCTGTTTCTCCCATGTTGTCTCGATTCCATCTTCCCACCAAAGTAGCTCAAATAGAGCATCCTATGACTAGAAGCTCTTCGACAGGACCCACTAGTCCTGGAACCGGCCTCTGAAGTCATAAAGCGGGAGCATCATTCAGATAAAGCGTAGTAGAGTAGTCACGTCTATCTAGAGAGAAGAAATGCAAGAAGATGAAAATACCTAACACGATTCCACTTAGGTAGGTAACATCTCATTATTGTGCCAAGCCCACCTTTCACAGTAGGTATGGAAGAGAGCTAGTGGCTGGTCCTTCTGCCCTTCACCTGCGGCATACTACCTTACTTTGATAAGTTTTATTACCGAGGATACTTCCGTCAAGTACGGAGCACAACACATAGAATTCGTGTTAACTTGGCTGTAGTTACTGCGCTAAAGCTTGCAGCAACAAGCTGAGGAAAGTAAGTTGCTACCCAAGTCTCCAAGGTATTAAGCTTGGTGGCCCTTTCTACATTGGTGCACAATAATCAAAGGGGGCGGCTCACCGGCTCCATCATCCTAGCGTCGCTAAAGTCAATGGTTCTTCGATCTAGCCTCGTGACCCTGCCGCGAACTTTTTACAATCTCCTCTAAATCTTTCTTTCTCTTTCTCCCCAGCTTTAGTGTGAATGGGGGCGGGAAGACCCGATCCGCAGACCCCCTGCTGGTGAGAAGAATGTCTACGAGCTTACAATACTCGCCTCTTTCTAACCCAGTGGGCAGCTGAATTTGACTTTTGCCAGCTGGTGTATCTGTGACTGGTACGATCCTCATCTAGCAGGCTGTGAGCAAGCTCTCCTCTCTAGATATGATGGCAAAAGTTCTATAGCCATGTTACTTCGTCAAGCGATGGCCGGGCATCCTCGACTTAGCGCCTCTCTCCGTGCCCACAATCGATCCCGTTGTGGGCACAAAACGACATATGCTACTGTACGAAGTGTATAACTGCGGCTGGACGATGACTGTGTAAAGTGAAATATGAGCAAATCTTCTCATCGACCAATGGCTGCCTCCTGAGAGAGCTCCCGCATATCTACTCGGCACAAGATAGGTAGCATTTCGCCCACACATTTCGGCCGCACATTTCCCAATTTTGTTTTTTATGCATCCTCGTTTCTTATGGATATGCAACACAATCCCTAGTTTCAGATCCTTTGACCAATGCCGACCTAATGGTAGCCCGAGATTGCCGTAGGGCAGAAAATACCCTCTGGGTGGGACGCAAGCCTCTTTACACGCTAACAACATGATTCAAGTTCCCTTCAATGACCCAAACCTCACGATTAGGTACAAACAACTATGTGTGCGAGTTGGCAGACGGTCTGGTAAGTTGATGGTGGCATAGTATATGATATGCAGGGACCTTGCCGTTGGTTGGGACACATTTGTCTTGTCGCCCCTCTTGCCACTTGGGCATTGCCCACCCACGAAGCTCGCCATGCAGCCGCCGTTCCGACCGTTCAGCCCCTGGTACAAAGAATCCATTGCTCAAGTGACACATGCACCATTTTGGACCACCAACTAGGGCCGCTGTCGCGACGCTCTACCCTGGTACTGCCACAATTGTGACATGTCATGCCTGGCCACTGGTAGTAGTGGTATTTTCCTCCAGTGCGAAAGTCATTTGTATGGCAGAGCGGAAGTATGAGGGATGACCGAGAACTATTAAGACAGACACCGCGTTTTCGTGATTTCTTGCTGGACCAAGCCGCCTATGGCTGTAAAGCCCAATATGAGAATGAATCCAGGCTGCCTGCTTGTTAAGCAATACGGACATCCTGTGACGGCCTCCTCCTATCACATCAATGCAACACCGACCTCGCTCTATGCATAACAGCTAGATAAAAGCTAGCGGTGTAGTCTATTAGGCGAACTTCTCGAAATACCTTAGTTATTACCTGTTCGACTAGCCATCTGTTATACAACCTTTGTTTGACGACTATACCAACGGTATCCACACGTCATTAGGAGCTATGCAGTGCAGATAATACCGACCAGATTCTCATACTAAAAGCATCAAGTCGAGTGCTTGCCAATCCGGTGTATTTCTTTTATTTCCTCCTGGTGAGCTTTCAATTGATGCTGAGGCCACCGCCAACGAAGTACTTGGCTGAATGGGCTACCTCATGACCCCTGTAGGCCGCAATTGAGGGAATAATTCTATTCCCCGTCCACGGATGTTCTTTTGTCAAGGAACCAACGCACGTACTGAGAGAGTAAGTCAAAAGAAAACCCTCAAGTAATACACTTTCCTGTCAATTTGAAATCGAATCTCGATCTAGCTTAGTCTTGTAGCTGAGATGTCTACCCTCTGTTAATTGGCGCCCATGCAGCTGCTTGTCATCGTGGCTGGAGTGTATGCAAGCCGGCCACAATCCGACAGGGCCATGCTATTTGGCGTGCTGACGGACACTATTAGAACCTGCATACACGTATGGGTACTTTCCATACAACCCCTCCAGCCCAAGAGGGTGTCTCTAACAACCCCAGAGAGAGCCTTGCAAATGGACGACATATTCCGCTCTCACCCTGAGTCATTGCTCTTTACGATTCACTGCGCATCGGCTTTCTGCGATCTGCAAGCTGGCCACAATCACACGGGGTAATATAGGTATCATATGCAAAACTACATGTAGCTTTCCCGTCTTCGATAGGCATAGGAAAACGTGGCACAAGTTAACAGCCAGGGCCACAGGGCCAGTAACATTCAGGAAGCGGAGACACACAAATCAACGGCACGTCATCAAGTTTTCTCTTCCGTCTTTCGTGCTAGCTAAGTTTCCTGCATCGAGGTATCGAAGAGGTGACAGGTGGAGTGGTAATAGTACTCGTGCGCTAATGACATTTGCATGAACCCCCATTCGGAGTAATCCACACAAGTACTACGACTCTGTGTAACAACTCAGGTACCTAAAGTGAGGGGTCTATCTACGTTACATGGAAGTCAGCATCTGTAGATTACCTTTGTAGGAATTCATAGAGTATACCGAGTACACTTACTTCGCTTAACGATATGGGGGCGGCGGCCAACAGCATGCCGCAATAACTGAGGAAAGGTATGCAACGACCGAGGATATATACAAGGTACAAAGGATCGTGGCCTTGCTTTGACGTGTTCAGTTTACGATATGACAGCTCTTGTGGATCCTGCCCGATGAAGAAATGCTGTTGGTTCTCACCCATGCACGGGTACAAGTCCGTCCCTCCGCGCTGAGAAAAAGATATTCCCAAAGCGGACGATTGACAGGCGGGATTCGATTTGTCAAGCTCCATGGTGGGAAAGACTGTCGTCATGGAGAATCCAATACTCGGCTCCGACGATTTGGTACACGCGTAATGGATGCATTCTTCCTCTGGCATTGCGCCGAGCGGACACAGCCGGCCCCTTGACGATCAATACCCGCTTTGAGGCGTGGTTCTAATCGTGCCAACACCTACTGCAGTTTCTCCCAACTTGTTCGCTTGCAGCCTTTAGAAAAGGGCCTCGGCTTTATGCACCTTAATATGACAGAGTCTCACATATTCAAGGCGGCACGAGCAGCATTGAGCCATGGATGAAAAAGGAGCGTGTAGTGCATGATTCATGAGTCTGACGCTGTTCACCGTCAGGATCTGGATTGATGAAGAACTTTCTCATGCAAGACATTATTCAGCCAATGTTTGTTTATGGATGTTTATGGACGAGTCCGCAAAACTAGGAAAGATGGCAAATTGCGCTATTCGTGCTAATTAAGAATAATTGATCAAGTTCAGATAAAGATAATATCGTAATTCGATGCTTCTATTGGCTAAGCTAAGTATTGAAAAGAAGCCCTTATAGCAGTGGGTAAGATGTACCTATGATTTCAGGTTAAGACAGTCACCAATACAAGCCAAGACGTAGTAGCTTGGCAGACAAACTCGTTAGCCCTTCCCGAGTTCTAACTACAAGACGTCTAGGATAAGAGTAGAGGATTAGAGGCATTCTACATGTAGTATCCAAAATAGAGCAATCACTTGGCTCTACTGCTATGTCCAGGAAAAAGAGGGCTATATTTAGATTCCGCTTTCTTCTCTTCTTTTAGAGCTATCTAAACGTTGTATCTGTTGAAGATTTATAGGGCAAACTCTTGTCATCTCGCAAAGGCTTCTCGTTCTTCTATGAAATGGAAAAAGCGCAAATTAGCAATAAAAACAGCATGATAAAAAAGAAATGTAGTCGCAACAGCTGTTGAACTTTAGATGTATGCCAAGCCCGCACCATTGACTTGTTGGTCATCGTATTTTCCACCTACCAAACGCCCCAAGTTTATCTTCTAAATCCAGTCTAGTTCTCCCAAAAGCCTGGGAACAAGTACTCAATCTTCTTCATGGCCTCAGGGTTTCTTCCAGCAGGCTTAGTCATGAATTTGACAGCTCCGGAAGAAGTGCCCTCCCAGTGCTTGGCCAGAACAAGGTCGCTTTGCTCAAGCTTGATAAGCTGGTCCAGGACACCTCCTACCAGTCTCTTGGCGTTCTGGCTGTTGGCCTGCATGTACTTCAAGACCATGTCGACATTGACATCCTCGTATGAGTGCCAGCAGTCGTAGTCGGTTGCCATACAGATGACCTGGTAAGCAATCTCTGCCTCACGAGCGAGCTTGGCCTCGGGGAGAGCAGACATGTTGATGACGGAGCCACCCCATGAGCGGTACATGTGAGATTCGGCACGGGTGGAGAATTGAGGTCCCTCTATATTGAAGAAGAGAATTAACCAACACAGACTCGGTGTCATCAGCCGTCAAAAGGAGTGGACTTACCCATGCAGATGAGAGTGCCCTTGTCGTGAAGCACCACGCCCTCGCCCTCCATATGCGCCGCGCAAGTCTTGACAATCTGAGCCAGCTTGTTGTCGAACGGGTCCGCAAATCCAACATGGCCGACAACGCCACCCTCGAAGAAGGTAAACGGCCTGATACCTTTTGTGCGATCGATAACCTGGTCAGGGACCACAAAGTCCATGGGCTTGATCTCCTCCTGGAGAGAGCCGACGGCAGAGAAGGCGATGATGCATCGGACACCGAGATGGCGGAGAGCAGCAATGTTGGCGCGGTTGGGAACCTCGTGAGGCGCAAACTGGTGGTGCACCCCGTGACGGGCAAGGAACGCCACGTTTACGCCATTGTGGGAGAGGATGGAGATGGGCGAGGCGGGAGTGCCCCAAGGCGTGACGGGGTTGACGACGGCAATGGGCTCGTAGCCTTCGAGCTGGGCCAGGCCGGTGCCGCCAATAACACCAATGTGAATGGGCTCTAGATTGAGAGTTAGAACTGTGTTGATAGTCGTTGTGAAGCTAGATACAGCAAGAGTGACAGGAAGAGGTTTGCGACATACGATCGAAAGAGGTGGGGAGGTCGGCCATTGTGACTGCTTCGTTGCGCCCAGAGAGTTAGCTGATGCCACTGTAGTTAATATTGGAACAAATAATCTGTTTGCCGTACGGACTTACGTGTAAAATGAGCTGAACACAGAGATTTGCAAGCTGATGGGATTATTCTTCTTCTTCAACAAGACGGCAGAGTCGTAGGAGCAACAAAATCGTGGTTGCGCTACAGAGCTACCCCTCTATCGATAGGGTTGGAGGGGCACGTTTTTTTCTTTTCTTGTCCGATTAGCAGATTCACAGACTACGGGCAGAGCACGCCATCACAAGAAGCAAGGGATCGGATCCTTATAGCTCAGAGCTGAGAAAAACTAGAGCTGCATCTAGAGGATTGTATCTACTTATTTCAAGCGTATTGATAAACAGCTACCTGCACATGTCATGTTGTTTGAGAACAGTCACACTGGGGATACGGCAGTCTAGATCTTGGTTCCGCACCCGCGTAGGAGTACAAAGTGTAGCGGCACCTATGTCAGAGTGCGCAAGTACCTGTCGAGACACATGTGACAAGCAGACGCCTATATTTCCAATGGTATAGACATCTCATGAACAAACGATAAACATAACAAGCAATACTGCTCTGGCCGACGCGGAGACTTTTTGCTTCTCCGTTATATTCGGAGCTGAATACTGGCCAGTTACAGCGCCCAAAGTCCGCTGCCTTATCGCTTCACCCTCTATCCCCGATACAGCGGGGCTCGCTTACCAAGCCGGCAACTTTTTTTTGCGGAGCCCTTCAGCTCTTCAGCCTTCATAACCTGCAGCCAAGGCTATATTCAAGCCATTAAAGCTTTTATCTGCGTGTAACGGTAACTTTAGCAACGGCCGCCGAGATGAGGATGACGGAAACGGTCGATATCAACGACACCACTATTCTTGGGCAGGATGTCGTGGCTGCGCCGTCGCAGGACAATGGCAGCGAGGTGTCGAATGAAACCATCGAGGAGCGGTGCTTCTCGGCCGCTCTCGTGTGTTTAGAGGGCCATTTCACCCAGTCGCCTCCCATGGGCCCCCAGACCACAGCCAGGGTGAGCTCGATGATCTCAAAGACGCTGGAAAAGACTCATACGCTTAGGAAAGCCAGGTAAAATATGCCTTTTTCCCCCTCCAAATAATATGCCTACGCGTAGGCCTGAAGCTTATTTTGACGGCTAACTAGTGTCAACAGAGAGGCTCTGGCACGCAATGTAGCAATCTGGATATGGCTGACAAGGATCTTTGCCGCTGCTATCCCAAGCCTAACGTCACGGTCAGTGGGACCGCTATCTGCGTTGAATGATCCAAATAAGGGAGTCAGCCCTCAGGAGAGCACGGCCTTGATCGTCCTCAACCATGTTTCTGTCAAGGAAGACCTGGGGACGCTCATCAAGCTTATGCATATTGCTCGGAATCTTCTTGTAAATGCTGAGCCCGAGGTCCCTCAGGACATCTGTGCCGCAGTGCACTTTGACCAGATGGTCTACCAAACCATCATCCTGTGTGTCAACGTCACGAGTAAGGGTTATGACGGCGAGATACTGGATGAGGCTCAGAGGGTGAAGCTCACGGATATTACCGAACTATGTATGTGATAGTCTTATCTTTGGACACGGAGGAAAAAGAAGTGTACTGACTCCTTTCAGATAAGAAGCTGCTTGTGACTTCGCTACAGCAAGTTCACAACTGGACTGCCAAGCATGATCGCAACAAGATGTCGTTTTGGTTTGATGTTTTGTTTGACGACGACGGTGCGCTATCAGGATCGGAAGAAATTATGAGTGATGGTTCAGGGTTCCGGCCCGACGCTGCTAAGCACCAAGTTCAGCACTGGCTTGATCGGAACTCGAAGATGTGCGACACAGCGAGGAAGCTGCTCAAGGACTATGTCCAGAACCACGCAGACAAGCCGCCGGGAAACCTAGCCCCAATCCGACCATTGGCCTGGAACTGGCTTCCAGATGTTCCTGCTGATTCGCCAGTTGACGTGCAGGAGGGTAATGAAAAGACGATTCCAGTTTGGAATGTGGACGAGACGGACAAGTTTGAGCAAGATCGGCTGTACGGCCGTGTATCTCGTGAGATTGATACATGGTGGCTTCGAGCGCGCGATCCCAATTACGAGGATTGGGTCGTCGGCATGCCATCTGTGGAGTTTGCACAATCACGCACGGAGCATTGCCGGAATAATCTGGTCCATCGCTATGCCCATTCCTATCGAGCAGATCACTCACCACCTCCAGAGGGTGCTGAGGAGGACCTCTCTGACCATGAACACTGCCATGAGTGTCATGAGTGCTACCTCCGTCATCACCACCACCATGAAGACGATCATGAGTGCCATCACCATCACCACCATGATGATCACGAGCATGGGCATGTTCATGAAATCGAAAATGAGCATGAGCATGAACATGAACATGAGCATGAGCATGAGCATGAGCATGAGCATGAGCATGAGCACGAGCACGAGCATGAGCATGAGCACGAGCACGAGCACGAGCATGAGCACGAGCATGCTGAGGGTGGCGATGAAGTAGTGGAGTGCGATCATCACCACCATCACCACCATGATGACGAGGACCACCATCACCATCACTGCCACCACCATCATCATCACGATCACGACTATCCTCATGATTATATGGATGACATGATGGACGACGAAGAGGTTGATGACGATGAGTCTTATGGGGACGGCCCGCTGACTGGACTCTTGACCGAAGTGCCCAACATCTTGGATCCCAAACAAATTGAAGCACTGCACATGATTATCAAGTCATGTATTCTTGACCACGCAGGATCTGGATTAACACGTGTCGGAGAGAATCTACAAAAATCGCGATGCAGAATGTTCCTTGCATTGGACTGTGGAAAGAGCCTGCTCCGTGAATTGCTCGTCTTCATTGCAGTATGGGACAAGGATGAGCAGAGTCTTATTTTCCAGGTCACAACGCAAATTGTCGAGGCCATCCACCACAGTGCTCTGGTGCCATATGCCTGGAACTCTCTGAGAATCCCCAAGGATATCATTTCTCCAGCACAGACGGTCCTTTTGCGTTTGGTCAATCACATGCTTCGAGCTCGTGCTACCAGCACCACCATCCAGGACCCCAAGGATCATACCAAGGACCTCAAGCTGGTACACTTCTTCTTCAGCTTTTTCCGAAGCAGAATTGTGCCCGAGTGTGCGGCTCTCATGCATCTGCAGGCCCAAATCCGCGAGGAGAATCGCGATCCGTCCGAGTTCCCTGTTGACAGCTGGGATATGGAACGAGCAAAGGACGGACTGGCCCAGTACCTGGAATTTCTCACGACTGCAGCCGAAATGGTGGATATGAGACCTCATCTTATTGAGTGGCAGGCTATATACGACCTCATCACGGTTCTCAGCAGTCTTGAGGCGGCAGTTCCAAAAAAGCCCATGGTTGAAGTCCCCAAGCGTGCACCAACAGCCGAGGCCACTTCCAACGCAAACGGTAGTAACAGCGACCTGATGGTTGAGCGGCCATACTCTACCGGAAATGAGAACGCTCCTCCTTCGCCCCCGCCACCACCTTTGCAGGAACCAGCCCACAAGTTCCCATGGAGTGGCATCAAGGGCCAGATTTTCACCATCATCGCAACGCTTCTGCAGCCACCACCGGGACAAAGCAGCCCTGGCAATGCACAAGTGCAGATGCAGATGATGAAGTACAACGGCATTGTTCCCCTACTCAACTGCTGCGCGTACGACGATCACAATCCATTTGCCAAGGAGCGAGTCACCATCTGTTTGAAATGGCTGCTGGACGGCTGTGAGGCAGCAAACAACTTTTTCCGCGAGCTTGTCAGCATGGCGCCGCAGCCTAACCTGAGACCGCCGCCAGGAGGCACCACTGTGTCGACAATCAGGGTGGATGGAGTACAAGGCGAAGTCAAGGTGCAAGTACGTTCGAATACGGCAGCGCCGCTGCCCGACCGCAGCACCAGCAGCACAGATGAGTTGCTTGAGAAGGCTGCTGAACTAAAACTGGGGTTGAACCAAACCAAGAAGAGTGGCGGCGGTGGACGGAGCAGCATTGAGGAGGATTTCATGGCGTAGTTGTTGTGTGTTATTATTACTAAGGTATATCTGGATTGCATATCATACGGTAGGCTGTATAGCTCATTAGCATTAGAGGAGTTTGGCTGGCAAAACATCATTCATTAGCATATATTATAACAGCCCTTGGTTACAAGATGAGTCAATTGGCCATAACATGATTCTTCTTTTCTTTCGCTTTGGTATCCAGAACAGGCTATACATTGATGTATTGATATGTAAACAACGCCGCAGAAATGGCTAATTCTAATTGTAGATGACCAAAGATGACCGTCAAGACATGCATAAGGTACGCATACATAGATACATGATGCAGGTAAACTAGATGGGAGTAGGAGTGTGTGTTTGTGAGTGATGGTTGAGCAGCTTAATCCACCGTCGAAGGAAATCCCCCCGTTATGCATTATCCGTCTTTTGATGTTTTCTTCTTTCCTTGATTATTATGATCCGTTTTTTCTTTTTCCTTTGTTTCGTTCTCAGATTCCATATTCATCCCCATTCTTCCGTCCTCCTCAATTTGATCCATTGACCGGAAGCTTGCCCTCCGTCTTCTCAACATACGTCACCAGATCAGCAATCGTGCAGACCTTGAGCCCCCATTTCCGCGCAAAAGCAATGCAGGCCTCGCCCCTCAGCATACCAGGGTTGTTGTGCACCGCCCGTCCGGGAACGACCTCGCCGTCGTCGACAATCTCGCAGATGACGCCCGCCTCCGCCTTGCCGGCCAGGCGACAGAACTCGGTGGCAGCCTCGGTATGGCCGTTGCGGGCTCGCACGCCGCCGGGAGCAGCTCGCAGCGGCAGCACATGGCCGGGGCGGCGCAGGCTGGACGCCGAAGAGGCCGGGTCGGCGAGGACGCGGCAGACGAGGGCGCGGTCGTGGGCGCTGATGCCGGTGGTGACGGAGGGGTCGGCGGCGTCGACGGAGACGGTGTAGGCGGTGCCGCGCGGGTCTTCGCTGCGCTGGACCATGGGCGGCAGGCCGAGGGCGTCGGCGCGGGCGTGGGTGATGGGCGCGCAGATGTAGCCGGACGAGTGGCGCACCATCCAGGCCATCTGCTCGGTGGTGACGGCTTCGGCGGCGATGATGAGGTCGGCTTCGTTTTCGCGCGAGGGGTCGTCAAGCACGACGAGGAATTCGCCTCTGCCTGTAGTTGGCGGGGAGAGTCAGCCATTGCATCTCAAAAAGAAAATGGGAGAACAGGGAGAGTGAGGCAGAGGGCAGAAGCACGTACGGAAAGCCTCGATGGAGTCTGGGATTGAGTCAAAGAGACTCTGGTCCAGGGTGGTGGAAGGCATTGTTGCTGGTTTTGGCGGGTTGTGTGTTGTTGTTGTTGTTTTGGGTATCACAAGTTAATCAAAATATGCGCTGCTCTGCTCCTTTCCGTTGTTCGAATTGTTTGTTCGAATTGTCCCAAAGAAATGATGACAGGACAAAAAAGAGGACGACGAATTCGGAAGAATATGACGATTTGCGATTGACGCTGCTACCTTCGGGAAACGGAGACCCAAGCCCGCACAGCGCAGTAGCAGTACGGATGGGGTACTTTTTGTTCGACGGACTTCCACGGCCGACGCAGCGAAGAACCCCGAGCGGGCAAGTACTGGACCCTTGACTGGACTTTGTCGGGCCGGCTAGAGCACGCCGAGCTGAACCAATATTTTTGGCGCCGCTGGGTTGATTTGAAAGCTTGTGAAGCACGTCTGTAGCGGCAAAGCCGAGAGTCAATGGAGGGGCAAATGCCGAGCAGAGACCCCCGTTGAGAGTGAGATGGAGATAGTTCGCGGTGTGGGCGCAGCGATCTGCAGCGAGGTCTGGAAGTCAAGTTGGCTGGTCGCAGTGCTGATTTGTTTGAGTGGTCGAATTCTTTGCGTTTTGTTGATTTCAGCGGCAGAATTGGGTATTATAAAATTAACAACGGAGGAAACAAATTGAAGCGCACAGAGAGGCAGACTGCTATGAATAGAGTTTGTGAGAAAACGAAACGTTCTTTTTTTCTTCGGTCTTTACGCTGGCTCGGCGCTGGGCCTCGGCCAGATATATATACATAACAAAACTAAGCAACTTTCCAATAGACTCCAACCCGCAACTTCGGTGCGCCGGCTTCTCGTCTCATGATAATGGGCCGGGGACTTTTCTTACTGCGCTGCAGGATGATGGCATTAGAGGACTAATCCACAGCCCTTGCGCTGCGTGCCTGTTGTCAGCAATCCCGCGGTTCGAGGTAATGATGTGTAAGCCGAGAGAGGAGCCGTGGCGGCACTAGCGCTCTGCTTTTGCGTGTTAGTTTGGGACTCAGGCCAAAAGATTGCTTGCTCTTGATGCTGGATTGAGCGAGTGATTGATAATACAAGAGAAGGAGATGTGGAATTAACGTGTATTGAGATGCTATATAAGTTATACAGCAAGGTTGATTGTGTAAAAATTGGCAAGATGATGACTGCACTGTAAATGCAGGTATGCGAGGTGCCATGATCAGCGGCCAGGGTTTAATACTTTATGCTTTCATCCTCATCATCCAGCCATTATACACGAAAGACGCCTTGATACCAGGTAGTAGAAATTGAAGAGATTCAAACATTTACAGCTGCTTACACAGCATCAATAAATCATAATAACAAAGAAAGACGCCGGATATGTCAGCCTCAATACAGAACTCAGTAGCCAACCGCGCGGGTATTCATTATTCTCGAACTTTTTTTCTAGCCCCAATTCCCGGGTCTCCACCGCCCAGCTAAGGGTCCAGCGACACGCCAGAACGGCCCCTCAGTTGCTTTGAGAACCTGAGGAGGGAAGAGGTAGACGAGGCCGGAGTAGCTCAATTCTTCGTCAGCTGTTCTTCCGGGTGGTGGGCTTCTGGTCTGGCAATCCTTCTGGCCCAATTCGATACCCGGCGCTGCTGCTCGTCTCGGCATCCAAACCCGCTGAGCTCCGCACACCCCGAGCCTCCGAAGCTTGGCCTTTCCATCACCATCATCATCCGCAAACTCACCACCTCCGGGCGCAAATCGCATCACTCCAGGGCAGATGGCCGCACCGACCCGGGCAGCGACAAAGGCCCTCCGACGCCTGGTGCCTCGCCCGTCGCTGCAGGCCACCACCATCCCTGTAGCCGGAGCTGCGACGCTGCCATTCGCCGCGCAGGCCCAGCAGCCGCGATGGCACTCGGCCTCAGCCTCTGCCACCTCGTCCGTCAACCCCAACGAGGTCTCGCACTTCAATGCCCTGGCCGCCGAGTGGTGGGATCCCCACGGGTCCTCGCGCCTGCTGCACCTCATGAACCCCCTGCGCCACGACTTCATCCGCCGCTGTCTCCAGGCCTCCGACTCGGCGCCTCGGCTTGACGACCGCAGGGCCGACGACACCGTCACGTACCTCGACATTGGATGCGGCGGCGGCATCTTCGCCGAGAGCGCGGCCCGGCTGCCCTCGACGAAGCACGTCACGGCCATTGACCCCACGCCGTCTGTCCTGAGCGTTGCAAAGGCACATGCGCGAAAGGACCCGCTACTGGCGAGGAAGCTCTCCTACAAGCAGTCGTCCATCGAGCAGCTCGAAATCCCGGCAGAAGGGCAAGGCTACGACATTGTCTCGCTCTTCGAAGTCATCGAGCACATTGACGACCCCGGCGCGTTCCTCGACAAGGTGCGGCCGTTTGTCAAGCCGGGCGGGTGGCTCGTCATGAGCACGATTGCGCGGACGTGGATGAGCTGGCTGACGACGAATTTGATTGCCGAGGACATCCTGCGCATCGTGCCGCCGGGGACGCACGATTGGAATAAATATCTCAATGAGGAGGAGCTGAGGGGATTCCTGGCTGGCAAGGGCTGGGACAGCGCAAACGTCATGGGCGTGGTGTATGTGCCTGGGCTGGGGTGGAAGGAGGTCAAGGGCAGTGAAAAGGTGGGCAACTATTTCTTTGCTGTGCGCAAGGTATAGTGTTTGTTTACTGGATGGAGAAGGGATTGGTTGATTTGTAAAATTACTTGGCTTGAGAGGTATGTGTCGTATATATGCCTTGCATGTATCAAATATGGCAATAGGAGGATATGATACCCTTACGATGTGCGATGAATCGCGCAACAGGAGAGATAGCTTGATGGCGTGGAAGTCACTGTACAATATCTGCATGGACACTGGGAAGAAAAAGTATTCAATAAGTAAAGAGTTTTGGGCCGGACTCGTGATTTAATTCATTATGGGTATCATTTCTACATTATTCACATCAGTAGACGCAGCTTCATGACAATTCCCGTTTCGCCTCTCTTTTGACTCCTCTGCCTCTGCCCCCTCTAGCTTGTCGCTGGCTGCCAACAAGAAGCGACTCGTCAGCATCATCTTCATCCTCGTCGTCCATATCCTGGCGGTTCTGCTCAGCTTGCTTCCAGCGCTGTATTCTCCTCTTCATAGCTTCGTCTAGGAAGAATTCTTCTTCAAAGTGTATTCGAGAGAATTTCTTCTTCTCCGTTAGCATAAGATCATACCCAAAAAAAAAAAATGAAGAGGAGGTTCTCACCTGTGAACAGCCCGTTTGGGGACACTGAAGCTCGCCGCGAAAAGGCAAGTAATCCAGGATGGCGGCTTTCTCAAATACGTGTGGGCATTTGCGACTTCTATAGGGTTCATTCATGGGGAGGAGAGTCAAAGGACAGTTGACACTGATATTCTCTCGCGAGACAGCCACCTCCTCATCATCGTCAAAGGAGCCATTTTGCGCGTCACGATTGGGGATTGTCATGTCGGGCTCGCCATTGGAGTCGAACCATCGTGAAGCATCTGGCAGGGGAGGGCCGTCCTCGCCCGCCGCAGCTTCATGCCACAGCTTCTTGAAGCCGACATAGTCATTGTTGAGGCCGTAGCGCTGGTGGACGCTGAGGCCTGTGTATTCTGCCCTTTTCTTAGCGCGGAGATCTCGAAAGGTATCGACGACGCTGGTCACGGGTTCCTGTCGGTCGCCTTCGTCGGTCCCATTGGCGGCGGCGTCTTCTTCTTCGTCGCTATCAACTCCATTTGCACGCCTTCGTCGGCTCTGCGTCGCGGCCGCACTTCTTGTTTGGGCTATTGAATTTGTTGTCGCAGTGGTACTGAGGTCCTCCAACACAGAAGCCTCGTCTTCCAGCTCGGCTTTTCGATCAATGGTCTCTCTGAGCGCACGCTCTGACTCGCGCGTCAACTTTTCGACGTCGTTTTCGAACTCGGGCAACTGCTGTTCAAGGCGCTCCTCTTCGGCCGTCTTGTCCGCATCTTTTTCTTTTCGGCGCTCAGAGACGATGGCCAGTCGATCTTGGCCTCTGCGCAGACGTTCGTTGAGATCACTCACGCTGAGGCCAAGATGGCGAATCGAGTCCTTTAGCTGCGCCTCATACGGTGCAGCGCCGCGATGGTTTGAAAGCTCAATCAGCTCTCGTCGGGCGGTGTCGGAAAGAGGGAAAGAGAGCGGTTCGTAGTCAGGCAAGGCTGTGATGGTGGTGGTTGTTGAGGTGCTGGTTGATGCGGCAGTCGTACGACCACCGCGGTTGAATAGACGGCGAGACATTGTGCGATGGAGTTGAATTGAAGGTATTCAAATGGTGGCTGCCTCATAACAGCATCTGCATCTTCGCATCAGATTGTCGATACTGGAGTGCCGCTGTATCTTCAATTAACATACATGGTGGGGGTTGAAGACGCGCTTGACTTACGCGATCTGCCAAGTGCTGTTAATTGACAATTACCTAAGCCGGTCCCCTGCTAATTGAGTGGGCACCACTACGACTCCAAACACCAGACGTGCATGACAGCAGCTTAGTTTCATAGCTAAAAACCATATTTGGAAGATGTAAGGCGTTTGTCTACTTCATTACACGATAGCTCCCATTGTTTCTACGTAGTCTGTTCTTCCAAAGCTGATTTCATGTGTAGAACCAACTCGCCGTCCATAGATCGGAAGAACGGTCCAACAGTTTTGCACCGATGCAGCAAAAAGGATAATCCGCAAGCAAAGACCCGGCAGCTATTCTTCCTCGGAATCATCAGCTATTCGTCGCATGCTGGCTATTGCATTTTCTCTTAGCAGCATCAATCAATTGGATTCTTTTACTCTCGCCAACCACTAGACTGACGTGGCAGTGCTATCTCAATCATGCGAACGGTCCAACCCTCCTCCATTGATTCACAAACGATGCCAGGCTAGGACACGGCGCATCCCGAACCCCTTGCTAGCTTCGGAGCCCTTCAACGTCAGCTATACTGCTTCTTACCAATGCATGATACTCTATGCAGTATGGCACCGGCAGATTTCCCTGCCGTTTCATTGAAATTAGCTGGCTTGTCGCAGAACAGACATCGTGACAAAAGCAATATCTAAATCTCGCAACCTCTGTTCGTGATGCTCCTGCCGGCCGGGTGCATTGGTTTGTCCACCACAGCGCCAAACATACGACCTAGCAGCCGGTCAAGGACTTGCATGCTGGGCATATCCACACAAGGATAGGAGGAAGAAGAGAAAGCTCCAACATAGTATTGCCTCTGCCTCAGCAACCTGGACCAGGTACTTGGGCTCCCATGCTTGCAACTGCGTTATCTAGCTGCTTATGACTGACGCAGCCACAGCTGCAAGTCGCGGAGAATGGCAAGGAATGCTTCAGCTTTGCATTGCGCTGTCTCTAGAGCTCTCAACTTCCGCTCTCACCGTAACTGTGCAACATTGAGGCTGGCTGCAGCGTCATGTAACTCCACTCATGTCTCAGCCCTTGCTTGTCTATTCAAGAAGTTGGCGACAAACCGGAGCACCGAGTACGAGGTACGTCGTACCATTTGCATTACCACTCTTACTTGATACTCGTGCGATCAACTGGTACTGGGTAGTATTGGCTATGGCCGATTTTGTACTAATCAGCGGCAGCATAACTCGGCATGTCAAAGTTCCTTCCATGGCTCCGTTCCTTTCTGTCACTTGATATTTCGCCGCTTGCTCGATTCATGACGAAAGCGAGGCCTGACTTCGATTGTGGCCTGATATATGATCGCAAGGTCGAATGCCGCATTCTTGCGCCCATCAGCAGAAACTCAGACTTATCAGGGGCCTAGAACTCCCAAGCTCATAATCTAGGCAACGGAAACGCCATTACGAGTTAGAAAAGAGATACTCTACAGCGCACCCCCCCGCCGATGGGAAACTACTCATGCGACTTTCGACCAGCATTAGAGGCTGGGGTTTCCGATCGTCCTAGAGCAGTGGCGCCCAGTAACCCGATCGCCATCCGAGTTATATCTCCCAGCATCGGACCAATCATCGGCTCGCCGCGGCCCCTTGGCCACGATGGCTTTGAGCGCTAACAGACCGAGTGGGTATTTCCGACGCCAAGTGGTAGTGCGCTAACAGCGGCTCGCTGAGACGCTCGCCCTGCCAGCCTTCTCGATGGTGGCCAGAGCCTCCCGTGCTGTTGATCTGAGATGGGCGCCTTGTATCGAAGATGTTCAACCTTTTGCAGATTGGCCCCCCTGCACACACACCTGCAGGCTACCTCAGCGCCGCCCGTCTGCCGGCGTGTGCCAACAAACAAGCGCCATGGCTGCGTCAGAAATCAAGCTTTCAAGCCCGGCCCCAATGCTCAAAAGGTCGTCCCCATTACAATTATGTCAGGAGGGAGTGGACGGTGAGGGAGCAAACATTATGGAGCGGGTTTTGGGCTTTGAATGGAGCCGCGCAAAATAACATCCTCTGTGGCCGTTTTCGTCTCTTGTCTTTCTCTTGCCCTTCTCCCCAGGCTTACTTTCCTATCCGCTTTGCCAGCTTGTATTCTTATCCCTGGATTTGAAAATAGTATTTAATAAGCGCTGCTATATTGCAATCCGCTTCTCTCATGCTGTACGACTTTTAATTTCCTCACTTTTTTTCCATTGGTTTTTTCAAACTCTCTATAAGAGCCGTATGAAATTGAAATAATCCAAACTTTTCAAATCTCTCAACATCGCCCAGCTATTGTCGTTTTTACAGCCATGTTACATGCAAGGGACGCCAAAATGGTTCCCTCAGGGTCTTCAGAAATGCCGCTGCAGCTGAATCCATGGGAAAACCATGCTCTCGACGTAAGATCGATGTCCTCGCCTCTAGATTGGGGGCCAGTATTAGCGAAAGCCCGATATTAACCCTCTATGCGACCAGTACCAATTTCCATCCCAGCCTGCCAGTCATGTTGGAGGCAGCAACAGTTCCCCTGCTTGGGTACAACTTCAAGACTCGGTGATTTATCCCGGCATCTACTCGGCTAGCGGACTAGATGTGATGGGCATCTTGGTAAGGCGACCACCTCTTTTCTCTTTTCTTTTTTCTCTTGCATTTTGTGTAAGAGCATCCATGTGCTTGAAATTGTTTCTAATTGGTTTATAACTACTAGCTCCGACTTGTGTCTCGACCAAACCCCTGCATTGAACTCGGCCCTCTCGACTGTTCCGTCTCGCTCACATTGTGCGATCTCAGCTTACCAAATCTACCCATCATCTATGCCTCCCCGGGATTCTATGAGTTGACTGGCTACTCTGCCTCAGAGACTCTTGGTAGAAATTGTCGATTTCTACAATATCCTCCTTATGCAAATGAGACAACCGGGTTAAGGGTGTCTTCAGAATCCGCCGAGCCCATCACAAAGATGCGATGGGCCATCCAAGCCAATCAAGAAGTCCGAGTGGAAATCGCCAACTACAAGAGGAACGGGAAACGATTCACTAACATCGTCACCGTGATTCCTTTACTCCCAGACGCTGACGGACATCATTATGCTGTCGGGTTACAAGCCGAACTATGAAAAACCACAACCCATTCTGGAGATGTTGCCGACGTATCTTTGACGAACGCCTCTTCGGAAGCAACCCCTTCCTTCCAGTTTTTACATATAAACGACTACAAGAGATACACGACATCGTATTTGCGAATTTCTTTTGAGCGCATCTTTATTCAAGGTCTATGACGTCTTTCTTTGGCGCGCTTGGATTCCGGATCATGACTATACCTGACATTTATGGATAATCTTTGTTTTACAGCAGCGTTGAAAGACTTTTTGTTTCTTTTCCTTTCTGACTTATAATGTTACTGCATGATATGGGGCGAACACGAGCATGGATATGGATGAATCCTCTCTTTTGTTGCGGGGCTTTATATAACGGCACGATAATTTATGATTTCTTCTACTTCTACTTCTTCACATTCCGGGGATGGAGGATAAACGGAGGTTATATGGATGGGGGCACGATTAAAAGTCTCGCGACTGCGTTCTAGATACACGAAGAACAGAACAGAACTATATATCTCAAATCGTATATTGCATGTACATCTAGCTGGTCATCATCGCTGTCATACAACTGGCGTCATATACTGAACTCTTTCCAAGAAAATCCCCGCATACCTGAGCATCCCATTATTCGTTTTCCGGCATCTACCTCCTCAGCCGGCTGGACCGGCGACGACCGCCCTCTTCCTCCGTCATTTTTTCTTTAATCTCCTTTTTCACGGGAGTGGGCTTTGATTGTTCCGCCGCAGCTTTGCCCCGCCTCTTCTTGGCAGGCGGGCTCTCTCCATCGGATTCTTCTGGCTCTTCTTTAACCTTTGCCGCCTGCTTTCGTGATCTCTTTGGTTTAATATCTTCAACTGCCTCCTTGTCATCGTCATCCTCTTCCTTAGGCTCGGCCTTTACAGCCTTGCCCTTTGCAGGCTCGGCTTTCTCTGATTCGCCCTTTATCGATTCTGTTTTGGCGCCGGCGACGACAGCGCCAGTCTTCTTCTGCACACCAGGAGCGTAGCAACTAGTTCGTCCGCCGACCGTTATGAAGGCGAGTTTCTCGCCATTCGGAAGCTTGGGCGCTGAGCTCTTATCTCCTTTGCCCCATCGATAGTTGAAGAGCCAGTGCTCAGGGAACTCATTCGAGTCGCCGAGCTTGTCCACCGCAGTCTGGCACACATAGCGAATAGCCTCGTGCAGGCGCGCAATCTCCTTATCGCTAAAGGTGTCCGAGTACTGTTCCGGATGGATCTTGGACTGGTAGAGCGTCTCGTCGGCAACCCAGTTTCCGATGCCGCTGATGACAGTCTGGTCAAGCAACAGCGCCTTGATGGGGACGTGACGGGATTGTATCTTGCCGCGAAGATACTCTTCCGTGAAAACGTCCTTGTCAACCACGGGATCCGGGCCATTCTCCACCAGCGGAGAGTATTTTCGAATAGAATCGCCAGGGCAGTCGACGAGTCGCACGCGGCCGAACCTCCGAGCATCGGTGTATGCGACTTCGACGGGTTCCTTGTCAGTGGTACTGAGGTGGAATTTCCAGAATTTGGGAGGCCATTGTTCAATGTCGCTTTCCTTCATTTTCTTGTAGTAGTTTGTATAAGCCGTTCTCTCGCCATTAATGTGCACCCAGCCTGCGTGTGATGTGTGAGTGGCATGAGCAGAGTAAGGAAATGGAGTATAGTCAAGCTTACCAGTCATGCCAAAATGCATAACCAAATGAGGCGGTTTATCCAATGTTATCCTTGCACCAGGTGTTAACAAACCCCTGCTGTGAGCTTGATAGATTGACTGTTCACATACCAAAAGTATTTTCCTTGGTTTCCCGCAGATATAACCTAGCAGCAGTCAGACATGGCATGGCATCTCAGGCTTGAGGGTGCATTTTTCATACTGTTCTCCCTTTCAAGGCTTCTTCCACCTCTTTTCCGCTAGTTCCGACCTTGCCAAAGACGCTGCTGTCCTCTATAGCAGAGGCTTTAGCTATCGTCTTTCCCACCAGCCTCTTGTTGAGGAAGTGTACTATCCGCGCGACTACACGATGTTAATTTTGGGCCATTTGGGGCTCCATAGAGTATACATTCCTTCAGCAATCTCAGGCATTGTAGCTGATATTACTATTAATAGTAGAGAGATCGGGGTATGAGCGCTTCGATATGCTTTCACTCCGCTCTATATAGCTGAACAGCACAAACGCGTCGTTAGTGAAGTTACCTTCTGAACGCGAGAGACGAGCGAAGTCACGTGTAGGCTTACCTTAGCAACTCTACTTGATCCACAGCCCCGCCCGCAAAAAAAGCTATGAAAACATTTCTGCCGGAACTTTTTTTTCTTTTCTGCTTCTTCTTCCATCTGCAAAAAAAATTGCAATGGCAAAGCTCAATGTAAGTTTGTGCGCCGTTTGTGTTTCTTTTCCTTCGTCCACTACCTGATGAAACCCTAAATCCGCAAACTAGAGTCTTTGACCACAGGAGTGAAAACACCGTTTAGCACGTCAGTCTGAACCATTATCGGACAGCTGAAATATTTTCTTTCTGCATGCAACGAGTTGATCGTCTTGCTAACTGTCTCGAATAGGATCCGACTACCAAGTGGTATCGAGCTTGAGTATGATGCCGGCGTCTCTGCCACTCGCATGGACTTTATGGTAGGCTACCCTTGCACATTCTGTTTTTCTTTGCTTTTTTTTTTCACCTTGACACAATATGATGATCAATTTTACAACTATATACGCTGGAAATTACCGGCTGAGGTCTCCTTTGACGATATTCTTAGGCTATGACTGATTTTGTCTCTCAATCTCTCTTTTTCTGTTGCTTGTTGAATTGCAATTGTATGGCATTGAGCTGACCTGAATGAATAGTTTCACTTGACAAGGTATGCCAACGTAATCGTCACAAGTTCCTCGGCCATTCCGATGTTAGATGATGAAACGGCACTGGGCTCCGATATCATAATGAGCAAGACACGCCATTTTGCGGCAGGCCTAGAAAACCTCGCCCACTGATTCTATCTCGTCGATGTCTGAAATTGGATCATATGACGCTGGATATTGGGGCTAATATCTTGATATCAGTGTCCAGTGATGCGTTGTAGGTAACATGAAGATACATGTTTGATCTATATCAAGGTAAGCTTTTTCTACTCCTCTTATCTCACCAGCGTCATGTGATGATTTTTAGATGACGAGTCCTATTCGGGTTTCCGATGAGGATACAATCTTTTTTACCATTCATGCATTTCCTGATCTTTTGGCCCAAACTTGTTGTCTTTATACTGAAGCTTGCCGGTTGACATTGGTGCTAACATTTCGAAGTGATACTGTTAGTTTACCCACACATTCTTCTTGCATCCAACTTTCTCGTGATGAGCTCGAATAAACAATGACAAGCATATGTCTGAGCTTCTGGCGACGAAGACAAAATGTTCGGAACTGATCTGAAGTCATTCGCGCCGCATTGTGGATTTGCAATGTCTGAGCTCTCAGCTAACTGGCTCAAAAGATGCACAGCACAATCCATGCTACCCACCTTATGGCATACAATGCTAATGGTAAGCGACCATGTTCCCTCCTTCTCTCTCCTTTTATATGATGTACAAATATCACGACGGTCAACTTAGCCATATGCTCTGATGATAACGCCTGTGACAAGGCACTTTATCCCTGATAATTCCCATTGCCATCGTCTTTTCACTGCACAATGTGTTTCCAACATTATGCTAACGGACGATTAGTTGATCAGATATCTCGCGTCGATCTGATGCAGACCAGACACCAAGCGGCGTTTGGTAATGCTAGTCTGTCAAGCGTCGGCTAGTTTTTTCAGTCTACAAGTTCGTAAATCTGTAATCCAACCGAGTGCTCCAGCAACTCTACCAAATAGTTGAACAAAATATACATATGTGTTTACCATGTATACTGTCTGTCTTGAAAAATATGCGATGTGACCTATTATTACGATGATGGTATGGGCCATCCAGATTGAGCATTTCGCTGCCATGTTGAATCCTTGAGACAGGATAGAATTCATGCACAAATTTTCCCACCCGCCGCTACAGCACGTGCGGTAATCTCTAGCAAATAACTTTGCCAGTGAAAGGGGACATGGATCAAATCGCGGACAGAGGCTCAATCCGTGGCTACAGCCGTCTCAAAATCTCCCTGTCAGGCTGAGTTGCACATGGCAGTGGGCGGCGAACAGCGTCGCTGCGACGTAAGCACAGCATCTACTAGGGCTCACCTCAATCAGCCCCTGAGTTTATGCGTCTGTATTGATTTAAAAACAGTCTGATGAAAATTGCACACTGGTATGAGACGTCGACGCCGAAGAAAGGAGTAACTATTCAGCGCCTGAACCAAGATCCAGGAACGAGTTCGCCTTGGCCGCTAAGAGGGCCTCTAGACAAACACCAAGGCGGCATTGATGCGGCTATGCGGCTGTGTACAGGCATAGCGTTGGGCAAAGAAAGCTGAGCCGCACTCTGACGGCGCTTGCTGGGCAAATCGCTGCCGACGATGAGAGCCGTAATGGGGGGCGCCACGGGAATAGTGCCTTTCTGTTGACGCACCCGTTGCTTGTTCTGTAACATCGATCTAGCCAGAATCATGGTTCACAATTCAAGGGACGGTAGACTATATGGCCATGGTGGTGTATAGATACTCTATCCTGCCTGAGATGGGAACTCGGTACAAAGACAGACCGGGATCGTAAGAATAGGAACCCCCTGGTAAACGCATGACTACCTGGCTCGAGAAGGCGCTCGCAGAAGGATCAGGACGCGAATCTGCCAAATACCAGAAGTGGTTGGGGGCTGAGCCTCAAGAAAGGGCACTCTGAGCTTGCCGTAGGATCGGAGGGCACCAAATGTCAAGTGAACTGAGTTGGCCGAAAAGGAAGACGCTACTGTTTGCGCTAACGTGTTTGTCTTTGGCGCGACAGCTCACTAGCAGTCAGTTGGGTAAAGGTTTGGGTTTGAATCCGTTGTTGTCGTCAAGTTGTCTCAGATTGCACGAGCTGGTACAAGTTGCGGTGAGGAGCAACAGTCAGACATAGAGGTAGAGCTACATTCAAGGGAATTATATAACCCAGTAGTACTAGTACAGCCAGTATCCTTCAACTTTCGTCCACGACGATGGTGAGATGCTTGTCTCCGGGTACTGTAAGCTCAGCTCCCCTGTCAATCCGCACTCGAGATAGTTCAGCTGGGCGCAAGACAGGCCAGGATCGGCGTTGGGTGGAGACCGTCTATAGGCTCTCTTTAAGCGCTGAGCCTAGCATTTGGCATCGTCGTTTTGCTGGTCTGCTTCACCACTTGCAGAATCTGGAAAACTGCACTTGTATGTCTCGTAGTGCTTGTATGCCTCACCTCCGTGTCTGCCACTGCTAGAGCCGGCAATGTCTGTCGATTATTGGGCCGTCGGGTCGGGATATTACCTGCTGCGTCGCCAGCAGCCAGTAAGAAGAGGCTGCTTGGCAGGCATGCGAAGAGAAGGATCCGATTCCTGGCGTCGTGGTGGGTGTGCTCGTTGGCACTTGGAGCCTCAGGGGTGGGTTTGTGTTGAGAGCAAATCCACATAGGCTGCATGTACAGCAACATACATAGCAGGTGTATGTACTCTTCTTATTAGCTCGAGTCGGGAAATGCTATTGTTGTAGCACTAGAGGGAAAAAAAACTTGTGTAGGATTCGCTGCTGCGACTCCATACACGTGAAGGGATATCCGGAGGCCCTTGGTTTGTGCTCCCACGCTATATTTTGCATTGGCGCTTCCATCCGCTGTTGCATCTGCCACTTTTAATCTATCACGAAGCTCTGCGACATGGTGTTTTGTTAACCTCTTGTTTGGATCATTCAGCCTGTTGCTGTTGTTGCTGCTGCCGCCGTCCATTTTTTCGTCTCCAGCCCTCTTACACAGGCAAGGCGTCTCGCCCAACATCGACATCATGGCACAAACAGGCGTGGCGGGCGTTCTGCTCGGCCCTCTGACCACAACATGGACGATGCCCCAGTCTTGCTCAATCTTCATGCCGGGCTGTTCGACATGCGACAACGCGTACAATGGACAGTCGTGCAATCCTACAAGTGGTGGTCAAGTGATGGACAATACGGCATGCTGGCCGCCAGCATCCAGCGGAGTTGCCTCGCCGACGTGGCCCTTTGTGGGCTGGGGATTCTATTCTCCTGGGTTGGCTTGTCCCGCGGGATACACGAGCGCTTGTACGGCGGTTTACGGGCAAAGACCGCCATGGTCGACGCAATTTTCTTTGGTGCCGTCAGAGACTGCCATCGGCTGCTGCCCAACGTAAGTTGACATGGCTTGGTATAGCATGTTATACTGGGCTTTCTCGTCCCACGAATTGACAAGAAGAAGAACAAATTGGCTAACTATCTACTCACTATACCAGAGGATTCGCATGTGCCAATGTAAATGGAAACACATGCACAGCAACCGTCACACACTCAACTGTCGAAACCGCCTTCTGTTCCGGCACTCACCTCGTTGACGTTGGAGCCGCAACACTTCCAACAATTATCACCGTGACGACGCCCGAGACAAGCTCAGGAACTACAAAATATTGGGAATCTTCGACGTCTACACGCACAATGATCCTGTACGCCCCGATGTTCCAGCTCAACTTCCACGAAAGCGACTTGCCAGCCTCGACAACCGCCTCGTCCACTGCATCAAGCACATCATCTTCAGCGTCTGAAACGGGCAGCGGCAACGGCACGTCGTCAAAATCATCAGGGGGCCTATCCAACGGGGCTAAAATCGGACTAGGCGTCGGCATCGGCCTCGGCGTGGCATTTCTGCTGGCGTTTGGTGCCTTCATCTACTATTACCGGCGCTCACGAAACAACGCAGTGCCTCTTGGAAGTGAGCTCCCGAACAATCAAATCTCCGTTGAAGACCCCCAGACTCCAAAGATTAAACAGTCGCCCGGTCAGATTTACGAAATGGGCGTGTATCATGCACCTGCGGAATTGCCTGGTAGTGTCATAGAAGGCGGCTACCAAGACAGCCCCCCAGGAAGCGAATCTCACAGGTACACCTGATCAAAGGGGATAGGGGGGAAAAAGTATGTATCAATGGCGTAATGAATTTTTGGTCAAGATTGAAATACATTGGCAGGGTCACTAGAATTGTATTAACTCGCAGGGAGCTGGGGGTCAGTTAAAGGACTGAATCTGGTGTTGTACTGTAAGCGATATGCGAGCGAGGAGCTTGGCGGGCTGGGTTTTCTTTTCACACTTTATATACCATTGTTAATAATTAGGTAGCTGTTGGCTCAGCAAGAGATAGAAGATGACGAACGATTTATATCAGATACGGGCCATGCTCAATCCGCGGTCTCTTAATAAACAATATGAAGTCGGATAGGAGATGGCATTTTCCCCGAGGGATTGCGTTTCCCATCTCCACTGATGCTGGATGAAGAGTGGCGCAAGTAACATTCGGCGTCCGCGGACATGTTACACGTCAACTGAGAGCCGTGTTTGTGGAATCCGCGGACAGTTTGTGGAGAATCCCAGCCTGGAAGAGTTTCAAGCTTACATGTGAGGTTATCACAACGACAGCGCGAATACGCTCTTCTCGCATGGCGTAGATGCATGCACGCACTGCTAACCTATACACTGCAGCATACGCTACAAATCTGTAGGAGATGACGGATCTCTGTTAGATCCCGACTATGGCAATATACCCCACCAAATAGAGCTGTGAATTAGCATTACGCGCATTTGCTCGTCAGTTTGCCAGTCTCTTTGGTGTATAGCAAAACTGAATAAGACAGCAAGATGAACGCAAAGTCTTGCGAATCTGATAGCCGCCCCGTGCCAAGCCAGCAAATCTTGCCCCAGATTAGAGCTGCGCCAGGCCCAAGACAAATGGAAGCCCCATTCGGTACGACTCGTCACCGCCCCCCTTCTGAAATTGCTAAGAGCACAAAAACTAGCCGTATTCGTATCGCGCTGGGCCGTCATACACCAGCAGCCAATCTACGAAGGACAGGTGTTGGAGGAAAAAATTGAATGCTTTCACAAACAGAGACGCGTGCTGCTGTGATATATATTTGCTTGTGTCACTCTTTTTTGAATATCATCAGCAGTTCTTTCATTCAATTGACCTTCTCTTCAACTCAGCAGCAGCAATGAACAGCACCATCGAGCAAGTCATGGCGGAGCTGCCTCTGCACCCATTTTCCCCTTTTATCACGGAGCTGCCAGCCTACGTGCCAAACACTCTTTCAGCGCTGCCGCTCGTGTCCATCTTTGCAGCGGGATGCGTCGTCATCTTTGGAATCACTTATGGCATAATTCAGCGGATGAGGCCCTCAATGGCCGCCGGCGAGGTTTCAATAGCGCTGTGGTTTGCGCTCTGTGGCTGCATCCATCTCTTTTTTGAAGGTGAGTGAGAATGGGAGCAAGCCAAATCATCATGGCTTACCGCGCCATATTATCTTTTCTCCTACCATTTTTCTTTTCTTTATCAAAAATTCTAATTAGATATGCAGGCTACTTTTCCTACAATGCATTCGACATGGCCAGCAAGACAGACATCTTCGGCCAGCTCTGGAAGGAATACGCCCTCTCTGACTCTCGCTACATGACCCAGGACGCCTTCACCGTCTGCATGGAGACCGTCACTGCTGTTTTCTGGGGCCCAATGTCCTTCGTCTGCGTCTACTTCATCATTGCTGAGCACCCGCTGCGCCACCCGTTCCAGCTCATCATCAGCCTGGGCCAGCTGTACGGCGACGTCTTGTACTACGCCATCTGCACGTTCCAGGAGGTTGTCAACGACATTGTCTACTGCCGACCGGAGCGATTCTACTTCTGGGCTTACTACTTCCTCTGCAACTTCTTCTGGATTGTTATTCCTCTGCTGCTTATCAAGCAGAGCGTTAGCGAGACCGCAAAGGTGTTCGCCAAGGTAAAGGCGGCATCTACTGTTAAGAAGGCGCAGTAAAACGGGAAAAGGAGAGAGATGACAGGATTTGTTGGGTCGAGGAAAGAATATTGCGAATTTGCGAACTTTGCCTGCAATCATGAATTTTGAAGAATTAGAAGAGATTACTATCGTTGCGTGGATAGAAAAGCGACGCTGCCAAGTTCAAGGTTAGGGCATAAATTGTAGCTCTCTCCAACATGTTTGCTCCTTGTAGGAGCTCTCCATGATCCAAAAAGACGATTAACTGTTAATAAAACCCCTTTATCATCCATTCCAATAACGCCAACGCTATGCAAAGTGGTCCAAGTAGCCAGCTGAGCTGAGCTGGGCTCAGAATTATTCAAATTGCCCCTCAATGCCCAGCTTGATGCCTTCCAATACAGGTCCCCACTGGCTGCTCGTCCTCTGTGTTCGAATCTCTCCAAATCGGTCGCTGGCAATTTTGCGGACGAGGAGAGTATCTTTTGCCTTTTTAAGATTTCTGCCTTCACCAGTAGAGAGATATTCCTCAAACCACACCTCCTCAAGAGAGTCAAACGGCAGGAATGCCAGTTCGTCTGCCTGCCCCGACTTGCTACCGAGAGTCTCTGCAATCAGCTGCCGAAAGAGGAGCTCGCGGGTATACTCTGGGTATGTGCGGGAGCATAGGAGCGCTTCAGTGACATTGGTTTGAGCCATAGCGCCAAAGATAAGCTCCAGAGCTTTGGAAGACTTTAGAACCGGCTGAACAGTATGGTAGTAAGATAGCGCAAGGTCGTAATCGCCATCCGAAGCATGCTGCACAAGAGTGATGACGATATCATCTGCAAAGTCTGGTACCAATGACGGGTGGGCAACATATTCTAGAGCAGTCTATCAAGTCGTTAGCAGTGGCAAACTTGATTCCGTAAACCACATGTCACCAACCGAAAAGGCCAAGCAATCCATATACCACAGTCCCTTCATAAAGATCTCGTACTTCTGAGGCATGCCTGAAGCAGAGGCGAATGTTTCGGAAAGAGACGCCTGGCCGTCAACGATATCAAAGTCCAGGAGCACATAGTATAGCAGCGACAGCTTGTGGTGCATCGACATGTTGCTTTCGCAAATCTGTTGGTGGAGTTGTTTGACGCCATTGTCGTTCTTTGGAGGGTAGATCTTGTCTGTGCGATATGCTAGTCAGCTTTACAATCATCTATTTCGGTATATATGCTCTCAGAGTCATGGCTCTATACTGACTTTTGCTGATTCCCAGTGCCTTCAGAACTCGATCCATAAAGAGCTGCCCACCCAAATCTTTCCGGCGCGCCTCGATCTCGTGGATGCGCTTGCGATCGTAGGGCACTTGGGCCCCCGCGGGGAAGACCGTGTGATAGTCGGTGTACTCAAACATTGTCGCAGATTGTCGAGGCTAGAATGGCAGACAGGGCGTATCTACGAGAGATACTCGAAGCAGCGTCGATAGCGGTAGCAGTCTTGCGCCAACCTAAGCTTTCTGCTGGCAGCTAACAAACAAGCTATGGCCGTCGCGCGAAGTCACGTTTTTCACCCAACGGCCAGCTCTTAGTGCTGAAGCCACAGCGGGCAGCCACTGAAAGCCACACCCAAAACAATGAAAAGACGCTGCTTGGTGGGGTGGGAGGGTACGTACCGTTGTTTACAAACCACGCATTGGGACATTTCCAAACAAAGCCCAGCCAGCGCGGGGTCCATCTAAGCACAATCGATTTCTACCTAGCGGTCTATTGCAAATTCGGCCTGCGACAAACGAGAGGCCTGGGCCGCAAATTGCCGTTTGGAAACCGACAGGGCCGGCCATTTTATCCTTGACTTCGATTTCCCATTTCTGATGCCAGTTCCAGCTACGCGACCACGACGGCATCTCATTGCATCCCTTTTCTTCACTTTCAGAACCGTGAGCGACAGCCCACTTTAGCGTCATGGCCTCTTCTCGACCATCGCGACGCGTCGCCAGGCGGCCAATTATCGAATCCGACGACGAAGAAGATGAAATCTCCTTGACATCAAATGCTCGCGAGGAATCGCCAGACTTTGAGCCCGAACAGCCAGCCCCCAAAAAGACCAGGACCGCGCGCAGGTCAGTTCCAGCTGCGGCCGCTGCTGATACATCTACAACGTCCACAACGTCCACAAAAACGCCAAAAGCGCCAAAAGCGACAAAGACGTCTCGAGTTCGTGGGCGCCCTAAGAAGGCTCCAACCCCGTCAGAGACTGTCGGTAACAGCGACATACTCGGCGAAGATGAAATTTCCCAAGCAAACGTCACTGTGACCCCGAAACCTCGCCGGACTAAGAGAGCCTCAACGGTTTCGAGTGTCGATTCCAATGACCATCCTGATGCGGCCGATCGAATGGACGGCAGTGTAACGACTCCAGGCGGCACTTCATCACGGAAGCGGAGAAGTGTGGCATCACGAAAACCAAGGGCCAGCAAAGCACCAGAAGCGCAGCTAGAGGCCCAGCCAGAAGCTCAAACAGAAGCCCAGGTAGAAGCCCGGCCAGAGACCCCCAAGCCAAAGGCTAGTAGGAGTCCAGAGGTTGCGTTGGAGGATCAGATGTCGCCAGAAGACCAGTCTACACCAAAAGCACGACCCGCTTCCAGATCCAAAGTCTCTTCGACGCCGAAGCCTGCTGCAAGATTACGATCCGCAACACCACAAGAAGCTCGACCTCAAGAAAGCCAACCTGTGCAGCCGACTCCAGCGCCCAAGCCATCACAGCCATCAATAGAGACTCCGCACGCACAGCGACTGGGTTCTCCTCTAACAGATATCACATCAAACGCCAATACTGTCAAAGCCAAGCCGCCGCCATCTACCAAGCCCGTCAGGACAATGGATACCATTATGGAGAAGCCAATGGACATCGTCCTCAAGTCACGGACATTGACGATACCTATTGTCGAGGATCCAACACCAAAGCCTCGCATAGTCATCACGCATTTGGTCCTCGAAAACTTCAAGAGCTACGCTGGACGACAAGAAGTAGGACCATTCCATGCGTCGTTCTCCTCCGTTGTTGGACCCAACGGCTCTGGAAAGTCCAACGTCATTGACTCTCTCCTCTTTGTGTTTGGTTTCCGAGCCAGCAAAATGCGACAGGGAAAGATCTCTGCTTTAATTCACAGTTCTGCACAGTATCCCAACCTTCCTTTCTGCGAAGTTGCGGTGCATTTTCAAGAGGTTTTAGATCAGCCTGGGGGTGGCCATGAAGTAATTCCCAACTCGGAGCTCATCATTTCCCGCAAAGTTTTCAAAAACAACTCCAGCAAATACTACATCAACGGCAAAGAGTCAAGCTTTACGATTGTTACTACACTCCTGCGTGATCGTGGCGTGGATCTCGACCACAAGCGTTTCCTGATTCTGCAGGGAGAAGTCGAATCCATTGCTCAGATGAAACCGAAAGCTGCCAATGAACACGAAGACGGATTACTGGAATATCTCGAAGACATCATTGGAACCTCCAAGTACAAGACTCCGATTGAAGAGTCCGCAGCCGAGGTCGAAACTATCAATGAAGTTTGCATGGAAAAGAGTGCTCGTGTTCAGCATGTTGAGAAGGAGAAGAACAGTCTGGAAGAAAAGAAAGACAAGGCACTCGCATTCATTCGAGACGAGAATGAGCTCGCTATGAAGCAGTCTGCATTGTATCAACTCTATCTCCATGAATGTACGGACAACATCGCGGTCACAGAAGAGGCGATCAACCAGATGCAGTCTCAACTGGATCTTGAACTTGAAAAACACCAAGGCAGCGAGCAGATTATCAAGGAACTCGAACGCAAATACGCCCAAGTCGGTAAGGAGTTTGAAGCCCAAGACAAGCAAACTCAGGCATTCGTCAAACAGTTGGCGAAGTTTGAGCAAGAGCGCGTCAAGTTTGATGAGAAGAAGAAATTCTTGGAAGATAAACGAAAAAAGCTCCAAAAATCGATTAACAAGGCTGAAAGATCTGCAACTGAGGCTGATGAGACAATCGAGCAATGTGGAGAAGACATTGTCACACGGACACAGGAAATCGCGGCACTGGAGGCTACCGCGAAAGAAGAAGAAGCTGAACTCACCAAGATCAGAGAGAATCTGAAGGGAAAGACGCAAGTCTTTTCTGATCAGATCGCAGCTAAGCAAAAATCTCTGGAGCCATGGACAGAAAAGGTCAATCAGAAGCAATCTGCCATTGCCGTTGCTGAAAGTGAGATGAACATTCTCCAGGAAAAGGCGAATGCTGGTGCAGTCGCTCTGCAGGAGCTGGAGGCCAAAATCGCATTCATTGAAGAGGGCAAAGTTTCCAAGCAGAAGGAGCTCAAGGCTTGCCAGTCTGAAAAAGCAAAGTTAACAAAAGAGGCCGAAAAGATGAAGTCCGAGCTCTCAATTCTCGCAGAGCAAGAGCCAAAGATCCGATCAAAGATTTCCAACGCCCGCCAGAAAGCAGATGAGGCTCGCTCAAGTTTGGCCAATACTCAAACGAGGGGCAATGTGCTATCTGCCCTGATGCGAATGAAAGAATCAGGCCGTATTGATGGATTCCAAGGTCGTCTCGGAAACCTCGGCACCATTGATAAGAAATACGACGTGGCTGTCTCTACTGCGTGCCCTCAGCTAGACAATTTTGTCACCGAAACAGTAGAGGCAGGTCAACAGTGCATTGAATATCTACGGAAGAATAATCTTGGTCGCGGCAACTTCATCTGTCTGGACAAACTTCGACACCGGGACATGTCACCGATCAACACCCCAGAAAATGCGCCGCGGCTGTTTGATCTTGTCAAAGCAAAAGCCGACAAATTCTTACCTGCGTTCTATCACGCCATGCAAGATACTCTTGTTGCCAATGACCTTGCGCAGGCTAATCGTATCGCTTACGGCTCCAAGAGGTGGCGAGTTGTGACGCTGGACGGTGAATTAATTGACAAATCCGGTACCATGTCAGGAGGTGGCAACACGGTGAAAAGAGGCCTCATGTCCTCCAAGCTCGTTGCCGACACAACACAAGAACACGTCGCCAAACTCGAAGAGGATCGCGATGGGTGGGAAACCAAGTTTCAAGAGTTTCAGGAATACCAGCGCGAATGCGAGAACAGACTGAAGGAGCTGAACCGGGAAATCCCCCAACTGGACACCAAAATGCAGAAGATCGGCTTGGAAATGGAGAGCGCCACGCGAAACTTGGCTGATACCCAGCGACGCATCCAGGAAGTCAACAAGGAATACCAGCCTTCCGCCGAAGACTCTAAGAGAATCTCGACGCTGCAGAAAGAAGTAGCCAAGCTGACTGCAGAAGTGGAGAAACTCCGTGGAGAGACATCCAGCGTCGAGGAGGAGATTAAAGCTCTGCAGGACAAGATCATGCAAGTTGGTGGAGACGCGCTGCGAGCTCAGCGAGCCAAGGTTGACTCTATCAAAGAGGAGATTTCGACTCACAATGACGAAATCTCCATCGCTGAAGTCAAGAAAGCCAAGGCCGAGAAACAAAAGGTCAAGCTCGAGAAAGAACACACCAAGGCCACCAAAGAGCGGGATGCTGCAGTGCGCGATCTTGAGCAACTTGAAGACGGCCTTAACAACCAAGGAGAGAAAGCGGAGGAGCTTAAAGCCCGTGTCGAGGAAGCCGAGCAAGGGCTTGCGGAGATGAAGACGGGGCTGAAGCAGCTCAAGACAGAGTTGGACGCCAAGGTTGCAGAGCTGAATGAAACCCGAGCTGTGGAGATTGAGATGCGGAATAAGCTCGAAGAGAACCAGAAAGTTCTCGCTGATAACCAGAAGCGACTCCGATACTGGCAAGACAAGTTGTCCAAACTTACCCTCCAAAATGTTGACGATTTGGTCGGCAACTCGGCGCCTAAGCCCATCAAGACCGAGGAACCGGAACAGACTGAGATGCCGGAACCTTCAACAAATGACGGCGATGATGAGGATGTCGAGATGACAGATGCTGAGGCCGACGATGCGGAGGTGGATGATGGAGATGCCATGTCAGTCACCTCTGACAAAACTGAGCATGCCGAAAGCGCACCCGCTCGCCAACCCAACGAACTACCACGGTATACGCCAGACGAGTTGGCTGGTATGAGTAAGGAGACTCTTAAAGGGGAGATTGCTGCGTTGGAAGAGAAGACTCAAAATGTCAACGTGGATCTCGGAGTTTTGGCTGAGTACCGTCGTCGCGTGGAAGAACATATGAACCGCGCGTCTGACCTGCAAACAGCGCTTGAACAGCGCGATGCAGCAAAGAAGAGACTGGATGACTTGCGCCGTTTGCGACTTGAAGGCTTCATGGAGGGCTTCAGCGCGATTTCACTGCGTCTCAAGGAGATGTACCAAATGATCACCATGGGAGGAAACGCAGAACTCGAGTTGGTTGACAGCTTAGACCCCTTCAGCGAAGGTATTCTTTTCAGCGTGATGCCGCCCAAGAAGAGCTGGAAGAATATCGGCAACCTTTCGGGTGGAGAGAAGACTTTGAGTAGTCTTGCGCTGGTGTTTGCTCTGCACCACTATAAACCAACGCCGCTATATGTCATGGACGAAATTGATGCTGCTCTGGACTTCCGAAACGTGAGTATCATTCTGCAAGCGTGTTTCTCATCCCTCTTAAGCCCCTTCGTTTGCATTACACGAAGATATGAGATTGAAGTTGCTAATCATAATACCTGACACTAGGTCTCGATCGTCGCGAACTACATCAAAGAGCGCACAAAGAATGCACAATTCATCGTTATTTCGCTACGGAACAATATGTTTGAGCTTGCAGCGCGCCTTGTCGGCGTGTACAAGGTCAACCATATGACGAAGAGTGTCACAATCGAGAACAAGGACTTCATCGACAGGCCTCAAATGACACAGCAGCAGCAGCAGCGAGCGCTGGGAGGGGGTGGAAATACAACCACAGTGGCAATGAGGTAGCACGAATAAGTTGTCTTTCAAATCTTAATGTGACAGAAGGGCTTATGTTATTAGGCGAACCGATGGCGGAATCTGACCGCAGCTTTGACGTGTCCATGACTCTCATATATGGGGTAAACGGGTAGGCAAACATTGGAGACATACTCGGGGTCTGGTTTTTGTTTGGAATTATGGCGGATACTTTTGTCGAAAAGGGATATAGCTTTTAATGATTGTTTATGAGCAAACGTCGGTTGGAATTCAAAGTATGTGAGATGTCGATGCATCCATCCCTCTCCTGCCCCAAGAGCGCGTTATTGAGAGCCCTCGCTTCTTTACCTTACACTGCCCTTGTTTAGTCTGAAAGTCCATGTTGAAGGAGAGGGAGCCCAAGAACGATGATGGCGCACTCCAGAAGCGAAGGCCGCTCGCCTCAAACACTCGCACCATGTACTCACGTCTCTCGAACATGTCATGTTCGTTCTCCTCCACCAACCCCAGAATGGACAATGCGAGAAATGTCTCATTCTGCAGCCTCTCCCCTTTGACGTGTTCACATGTGCCATGTGCCCTCATTCGCATGATGGCTGCATTGGGGGTGAGTGCCGGATCTCGCATGCATGAGACAGATGTTGACGGGGTGTTTGACTCTGCTTGGCGTTGCACGGATGGACGTCTTTGTGTGACGGGCGAGAGGAGGATCGTGGCTGAAGGTCCTGCTTCTGACTGTGTGTCAAAATGGGCCTGGATATTCGCCTGGGGAGTAAGGCCGAGAATGAGGAGCTGGAGACGGATACAATGATGCCGAGACATGATGGTGCCGACTGTGTTTGATGGGCTGCCGCAAAGGATATCGTTCGAGAGCTTCGTTGAGGCTCGATATGGATTCGGACTTGAAGGCGCTTTAGGGGTTAGACTGTGTATGTATTTTGGGTTTTCGGAAAATCTTGTCTTGACTTCGATTTTTAGTTCAGGGGCAATGGAGTTACGGATACACCATGTCTTGTTTCTGGATAGTAGACTCGCGAGTTGTGCAATGCATGGGTGGCCAAATTGGATATATCTTCGTCTGATTTGATTTCTCTCTATAAATACCGGGTAGGCCAATCACTCAGAACCTCGAGCTTGGTTAAGCTGCTATTCATCATAGATTCTCGTCATTACTCATTACTATCTGTTTACAATGCTGCTTCTTGCGATTCAGTTTCTTTTGGTTCATGGCGCATTTGCCTTTCCTGCGGCGCAGAATGCCGTTTCTTGTGACCATGATGATTTGTATACGTCGCTGTCGAGATATGGCAGTGACTTTTGTTCGAGTATGATAAGAACTCCTTGTGAAGTATCGTCGACTCCGACACAGTTTGCGACGTATTCCTCGGCCAAGTTGTCTTCATACGTAAGCAACCCTTTTTCATGATCAAGTGTGTTCATGCAACAGTATGCTGAGTTGAGTTAACAATGTGTGTCTTCCTAGTGTGCCTGTCTTGTAACGACCAGCACATCGTATGGAACGGCTGCTACTGGGACTGGTTCCCCGGCTGGCCAATCCAACAGCACAGGGCCATATACGTCGTGGCGTAATTCTCACAGACCATCGCCTACATATGTCGTTACTCAAGCGAGATCTGAGAATGGCGATGATGAGGGGGCGTCGAGGACCAACAGTGACGATGGCTCGGCAACAGAAACTGGTAGAGCATCTGCTACTACTAATGCTTCTGGGAGCAACAATGGAGGTTCTGCAGACAAGGCAACTAGTACTGATTCTTCAGGTAATCTGAACTCGCCGACTGACTCTGCAACTAATGGCTCTGGGGCTCGATCAACTACTCAGTCGGGTATTGCCGGTTCAGACACTGGATCAATGACGGGACAAGTAACGCGCACATCGAATGACGCTTCTCAAGAGACGTCAGCATCTAACCCTGGTGATGACGGTGCGGCCAACTCTCGCAACGGCTCGGCAACGGGAATAAGAACTTCCAGTATAAATGATGGCTCAGGGGCATCTTCTCGCACAGCATCGGCCAGCTCAGTCACAGGTGATGCTACTTCTACAGACGACTCAACAAATGGTGGTTCTGGAGGAGCAACAAACTCTGGAGGAGGACGTGCTTCTACTACTGCTGCAAATGGACAGTCATCCAATGGCACATCTAATGCCCAGAGCTCAGCTAGCGGTTCTCAGGGCTCTAACCAGGGACTCAGCATCACTTCGGCTAGTTTTACAGACACGCGGATACCGAGCTTCACTTATACTGAGTCTATGCCAGCAATGACCTCTGGAGATGCGTCTGGTACCGCTGCTTGGAATAGCTCAGTTAAATCTTCTCAATGGGGTACTGGAGCTGGAAAAACTCCATCGGCTACATCTGGAGTGATTTCAGGACCTTCTTCAAGCCTTGGAAACTTGGGAACAGTTACTACAGTCACAAACGGCACTCAAGTAGCCACTCTTACCATTCCCCCTTTTATCACGCCCAGCGGCTTCAACAGCAGCACCATCAGCCATATTGTCAACGCAACACAGACAGGACCGCCCCCTCTACCTGCTGCAAACTTCACGCAGGTAACTCGGACGGGTGCCATTGTCAAGCCAACGTGCTATCAGATGCCTGTGCCACAAGGCGGATCTACTCGAAGAGCTCTGCTTCACAATACAAACCTCAGGGAACAAAACGCTACTATTCCATTCCCATATATTGAATCTGTAGATTTCCAGACAGACGGTGTTGATCCCTTGTATCTTACGCTGCGAGATGCCGCTGAAGGGACCCATTACATCGATGTTTCCAACCGCAGTTACATCGCCATTGTGGACTCCCTTTACAACGCCATGGTCATTGACGCAAAGGGCATACATTTCTCGACCAAGAAGTGCGAGTATGATGTTTCCATCACGATTGACTCCATGTATCAACAACTTGCTGCGCTGTCTGGACAAATCTGTTCGACGGGTAGCCAGCAGCGGAAACGAATGAATGATGCAGACTTTAACCAAACTCTCTATCTTCGAGACCAGTGCAATAATCCGATCAAGCAAACGGTTAGACAATATCCATCGCTCAGGGTTGGAGAATCAAATTGCAATCCCATCGAAGTCGATGAAGATACCGGCCGATGGCTTTTTGACTGCACATTCCCCGGTTCAGACTCGGGTACATTGAGATGTGAATGGGCTGTCAGGAATGACATTGAAGAGTTTCTCTTCACGGACCCCTTTGGCGGTGCCTGTCCCGACTTGTCCACCGTCATCACAACTCTGGAAGCCAACGGCCAGGATTTCATCAATCCGGAATCTCTCCGCACCGAGCTATACAACCAGGGCCTCGACGATGCGCAAAAAGCAGAAGCCAACCTCATGGTCATCTACTACGATCAACTCTGGGAGATCCTGAAGCAGGCCTTCTCCAAGCTTCGCACACAGCCACCCGGCAAAGCGAGCGCCATCCAAGAGTACATCGACGTGTACAACCACTACCGCAACTTCGAGGACGACATCTGCGAGGATCTCCACGCAGGCGACATGCCCCTGAAGATGAGCCTCCGCGCAGGCGTAACCACCATCGACGCCCTCGCGAGACTCAACTGGGCGCCAGAGAACCCAAAGCCGTTCAACGTCACGGTCCAAGATCCATCCCAGCTCGCGTGCTGCAGTCCTGGAAGCGACGCGAGGAAGGACGAAACCAACGGCACGTGCGCGTATCCCTTCAGCGCTCACTTGGGCGATACGGGCTGTGTCTGCGGAAAGACGGCCTCGGGAGGGTCTGTGGCGTTTGAGATTACGGAGTGCGACAACTTTGTGAGTGAGTGTGAGAAGGATGATGATTGTTCCAGGGCTGGACACCCGACGTTTATTTGTCTGACTGGGAGTTGCTGTGGGGGCGGAGTTTGCGCTGATCCGTATGAGTGTGCGCAGAATGGATCTGCTTTGGTGAGGCCGAGTCTTTTCTTTTGAGCTCTGATTTTTGACGCAATTTGGATGTGAAGAGCTGGTATAACTTGTATGAAGTAGGCGTGAGTCACTGAGCAGTTAGAGTATCAAATAGGTTGAAATCGTCATCGTCTGTTCTGACACTGCGTAATACCTTTGGACCAACATACCATGCACAGACGACTTTACACTGCAATCACATGGCGAAGGCACAAAATTTGCAAAGATTTAACAAGAAAAAGTCCGATTCATTTAGCCGCCAGGATTCTCTTTGTCCCGGGTATTCATCTAATCAAATTTTTACATGAAGCCGTGAAACGTAACCAGACTCCGCCCAAACACCATTATTCCCATGTTTAGACCTTGGGGGCAACGGTGGGGACAATCTTCTTGCCGTCCTTGTTGTAGCGGACACGAGGAGGGGGGGCACGGTTACGGCGACCCACACGAGAACGAACGCTGTTTCAAAATGTCAGTTATACAACGTACCTTCATAGAGGGGACGGGAAGGGATATAGATATTCGAGAGCTGGGACATGACAACATGTCCCATCGTACAACCAAGGCTCATCTGAAGCACATACGCCGTGATGGCGCAGTTGTAACACTCCCAGGGGAGGCAACGTACCGGACAATCTTGCCGTGAATGGCACAAGAGACGCAGTACTGCAGCTTCAGGTACATCTTGGGGACGGTGTACTCGGCGAAGACAGAGGCATCGGAGATATCACCTGGAGAGGAGCAGTTAGCGAATGCGACTTCTGTGTATGGTTGTGGGCTCGAGTCAACGTACGGATGGCAGCAGACTCAACCATGTTGCGGATGGTGAATCTCTTGATCGCCTTATCCTTGGGAGTGCATCGCGAGCAGTTGCTGCAGCGGATGGGCTTGGTGTGGCCGCGGCCCTTCTTGTTGCGGCCGCTGTGAACATGTTAGCATCCAATTCGCATGCTTCGCGATTGTGCCATGTCGTCAATCTTCCAAAGCAGCCGTCGATACGAAATGATATCCATCCAAACAGAAAGATACAAAATCGTTGATAGCGGCATGCTAGAAGGAGCAGACAGAACACATGATGAGGGATTCGTACTTGTTCTTTCTCTTCTTGACCATTTTGGCGGTGTCTGGATTGAACTGTTAGATTCTCACGCAGGAAAGAAAGAGAAAAGAGAAAGGAGCTCAGCCCACGTACTGGATTCGGTGTTTGTCGAAAAGAACTTTGGCCTAGGGCTCAGGAAAGCTGGTTGTGCCAAATCAATCAATCGCCTGCTCGCTAGTGTGCTCCACACAATGACAGATCTGTATGCGAGCGTGCCCAGGCAAATTCGCGAGGGGCAGGGCAGCTACCGCGAAAACCCTAGGTCATGTGATGCCGGTTGCCGCCGCCCGCCAGCGCAGGGAAATTTCTGGCGCGCCACACCACTAAAAGTACTCTCACTCATCAACCGCAACATCTGAAGATTGCTTAGGACGGCAGTAATTTTATTGTCGAGGTATGTCTGAAAGATGCTGCATTTATCTCTGCCCTCCATGAGCTCCGTGAGCTTCATGAGGGAATCATCTTTGATGTCTCTCTCCTGAAATTGCTTTCTACGGAGCTCGTTCCCGTGCTTTCCCAGATATCCCCGTCGATGTTGCAGATTGTCTCTCATCGACGGAAATCTCTCTCTCCCCAGACGTCTCACGCAGCAATTTTTTGCCAGGCAAAAAAATCTAACCCGTCCAGTTAGGCAAGATGCAGATTTTCGTCAAGACCCTCACGGGGAAGACGATCACCCTTGAGGTGGAGTCTTCCGACACCATCGACAACGTCAAGTCCAAGATCCAGGACAAGGAGGGCATTCCCCCGGACCAGCAGCGATTGATCTTTGCTGGTAAGCAGCTCGAGGATGGCCGCACCCTGAGCGACTACAACATCCAGAAGGAGTCCACCCTCCACCTGGTCCTGCGCCTGCGTGGTGGTGCCAAGAAGAGAAAGAAGAAGGTCTACACCACCCCCAAGAAGATCAAGCACAAGCGCAAGAAGACCAAGTTGGCTGTCCTCAAGTACTACAAGGTCAGCAACGACGGTAACATCGAGCGTCTGCGACGAGAGTGCCCCAGCGACACTGTGAGTACCGCCCTTTGTGCCGTTATCATGCGGCTTACAAAACACTTTGATCATTGTGGCAAAAAGCATTTGGAATCTAACATGGGATTTACCTTTTTAGTGCGGCGCTGGTGTCTTCATGGCTGCCATGCCTGATCGTCAGTACTGCGGTCGCTGCCACCTGACCTACGTCTTCGACAAGCAGTAAACGACAAAAAAAACCCTATACCTTTTTAAAACGGAATGAAAATTTGTGGATTGGACAGCTGGAGCCATGGGACTGCCATAGCAAACAAAGGCGTTGATGTAGCATAGAGAGCACATCCGGCGGCTTCTGGTAATGAATGCTTGATTTAAGACACGTTTGGAGTTTTCGGGACTGTAGTTCATGTGACAATGTGCAATGAATGCTGTATAAAGATTTGGTACCTCTGTGGCAGTCGTCGTGATTCTCGAATATCGAATATATAGTGTGGAAATGTCGCGCGAGAGATAAGACTGTTGTACTGATAACGCGGTACTGAAATCCGATATCCAAATTTTTGGCCTTGCACGAAAGATTTTACGATTTAGTTGATCCACTTTAACCGAGTACGGGGCCTTCTCATAATTTGTCTCTCGTAGCTTCCGTCACATGCCTCACGATGTATCACGCGACAGCCAGAGTGTAAATTTTTTCAAACTTCAATTCAATTATGTTGATGCGAATGCGAATAACCTGAGCCAATTCGAACAATGCAACATCGAGATCGGGTATGCATCCCGTATATGTACAATAAACTAGTAGCAAAGCTGTTTTCCCTTAACGCCAATTCCATATTTCCTTTACAACTCCTTCAAAGTGAAGCAGATACCACCCCAAGTGTCAGAGCCGACATCTCTCATGCAAAGCAAAATCTACTCAGCCTTTGGAGCCTTGCTTTTCTTTGCCTTCTTGGTCTTGAGCTTCTTGGGCTTTGGCTGAGAGGTTTCAGCTTCCTCAGCCATCACCAAAGAGTCCTGGGTAGGATCAGCAAGAGTTCCGCTGGCTTGCGACGTAGCTAGATCAGACACGGCGCTCGACGTTTCTTTCTTGCCGAGCTTCTTGTCGCTCTTCTTCTTTTTATCAGTCTTCTTATGAGTCAAGGCCTCATCGTCTTCGCCGCCATCTTTGGACTCCTCTGGTTCGGCTACCTCAGTAATGAACTTTGAGTCAGTCGAAGCCTCCAAGTGCTGGGAAGCACTCTACTCATCCTTTGACTTGGACTTCTTCTTCTTCTTCTTTTCCTTCTTGTCGTCATCAGCGTTGGTCATGGGAACATCCTCATCCTCATCGCGCTTGCGCTTCTTCTCCTTCTTGTCCTTCTTCTTGTCTTTCTTGTCTTTCTTCTCCTTCTTCTCCTTCTTGGCGGCAACCTCAGGGGCATCAACCATGTCCTCATCAAGCTCCAATTCGGCATCGCCGATAGACTCCATGACAGATTTCTAGTTTACAGTTAGTTTGAATTCTGAGGATATCAAGTGAAGAAAGTCGTAACGTACAATTACATCTGCGTTTTTGGTGGGGCGCTTGCCGGTGGCGTAGAACTCGAGACGCTCATCTACCTGCGCCTTGAAAGCGTCACCAAATCGGGTAGAGGGCTCATCAGAGAAGACGTCGATACGAGAAGCCATAGAAGCCTTGTTGGCCACGCATCGAGACATGCGGCCCTTGTTCTGCTTGCTAGCCTTGGCAATGGCACCAGCGTGGAACAGAAGACCAAACTTGGGAGTGTTGCCCTTGGTCTTGAGCGCACGGAAAAGAGCCTTCTCAGCACCCAGAATCTGCAGAGTTGAGGAGGGGAGCTTAGCCAAGTTGGTGAGAGAACCGGCATGGGAAATGAGACGAGCAGCAACGCTTGATCCAAGCAGGGCCTTTAGGTTGGGGGCGACCTGGTTCAACTTCTCATCAAGATACTTGGAGGTTGATCGGCGGTTATCGGCTTGCTTGAGGACGAGCTGAGAGAGTTGATCGATGATCTCAAAATCGTTGGGGGTAAGGTCATAACCCATAGACACCTTGGCGGCATCAATGATAGCCTGGGCCTTTTCTCCATCTTCACCAAGGACAGCGGCGATGTCGTGGAGCTTCTCGTCGGAGAGCAGCTTTCGGTTTCCAATAACACCGACAAGCTGAGCGTAGGTGTAGTTGTCTGAGGTAAATCTCTGGAGCTCAGGGAAGTGCGAGCCATACCATTCACGAAGGCGCATGAAGAAGCCGTTGACACCCTTGTCCTGGAAGTCGACGGTGGCGATAGCCTGGATGATGTGGTTGTCGTTGCGAGTAACGTTGAACTTGACCTTGGCACGAGAGTACGCGTGGGCCAGACCGAGCGAGGCCTTGGTGAGATCACCAGTCTGGAGGCCCTTGAGCAGCTTCTCGGCGTGCAGACGAATTCCACGGATAAGTTCGGCAACAACCACTGAGGTTTCGATCGTCTCGATGGAGAGGCCGGGGAACTGAGCCTTGATGGCACCACCAAGGTTCTTCTCCGCCACACCAAGGGTGATCTTGCTTTTCTTGCCGCTCGTCTGGGGGAGATTGAGCTCAAGGACCGACTTGAGCTGGTCGGAAACGATACCCTCAGAAATCAGGTTGACGTTCTCGAGAGCCTCGACGTGGCCGCTGTCGTTTAAACATGTCAATTCCCGGCCCAAGCGATGATCCATAACCAATTAGGAGCGTGTTATTACCTGAAAGGAGTGAAGTTGACGAGATTGACCATTTTGCTGAACTTGGGCAGCTCGTTGACGGCGGTTTGCACCTCCTTCAACTTGGCGCCAACGGCATCGGCCTGGTGCACCACATTGAAGAGGGCATAGCCCAGGGCGGCCTCGAAAAGGACGTAATCTACGTGCGCCATTGTATCTCTGAGCAGGCGGCGCCGTTAGATGGGGAGGAGAGACGCGGTGACTGCAATTGGGGGCAGCTTTTCGGTTTGGTGTTTTTTCCAAGATCCTCGCATCCAAACTTTTTTTTTAGTTTGACGAAATTTTTCTGGTAGCTTTGAGGTTAGCGCACGGGCCAATAGAATTTTGCAGCCGGGAGCGACTTGATGTGGGATGTGTCACGTGAGGGGGAGCGGGGCTCGTCCGGTGAACCAAAGGTGAGCTGTAGCTGATCAAGAGTGGCTTGCATTGGGCGATGAAGAGAATGTAGTCAATCATTCTCTTTGTTTCATGTTCTATTTATCTTTTATCATTCTATTCACTCTCATGCTCGAATCAAGAGCCTCTAGTTATTTGGGAATCCATTCTTCAAGTTGTCGTACTTTGACTGGGGATAATCGATGCAGTTATCCTTCCTCTGGAGCGCCTGCGGACCGCCAAACTCATTGACAACAATTCCAATCAAGCTGTCCTGGCCCTCCTTGTCGCCGCTGCTCTCCCACCACATGCCGCCTCCGAGACCCCACTCCTTGACGTAGCCAGCCTTCACTCTGGCAGCATGAGGAGTGTCGTAAGAAACGAGCTTTCTCGTCTGTGGGTTATAGCAGTAACTGGAGCCGGTGGCTTGGTCGTAAATTTCTTGTGAGCCCTGGAGAGGAAGAACTTTGTAGTCGAAGATGCCATTCTCCCAGGATCCCTCGCCAATGCCGTTGTATGGCTTGCCCGGACCGTCTGTATTCTCAAAAGCACGGCCGTAAATGGGCATTCCGAGCACAATCTTGCTGGGGGCGACACCGTTCCTTGTGTAGTGGTCAATGGCCGCGTCAGTAGAAAACGGCGTAGATGTAGGGTTGTCATGCGACACGTGGAGGTTGGCCTGATGGCCGCTCGTCGGGTCCCAGGAGCCAGCGTAGTCGTAAGCCATCAGATTCCAGAAATCAAGATATTTGTCCATTCCCGGGATGTCGAGATTTCGAAAATGGGTGGGCCCCGCAGGACAGGCCACAGTCAGCTCGAAATGGCTGTAGTTTGGAAGCGTGGCTGAGTATGCATCCAGCTCTCTGCGGACAGTGGCGAGAAGCTCAACGAAATTTCTGGCCTCGTCTGCATTTTGAGGATACTCCCAGTCGATATCCAGACCGTCGAAGCCGAGATTCTTCAGAAGCTCAAGACTAGATTTGGCGAATGTCTCGCGGCCCTGTTGGGTGCTGGCCGGGCCCTTGAAGTTGCCGCTATAGGTCCAGCCGCCAATGGACAGCAGAACTTTGAGGTTTCGGTTGCGCTTCTTGAGGAGGTTGAGCTGCTTGAGACAGCCATACATGTTGTTGCCAGTATCATTCCACGAGTCACCCTCCCAGTGAATGTCGGTGTCCGCCCAGCCATCAGTCATATGTCTGTATATATGTCAGAGTGCGTCTTATACAAATGCGAACAGAGATAACCTACACTTCTCCGCTGTCTTGCCGAACATTGGCAAAGGCGTAGAGGACGTGAGTGAGCTTATCGGCGGGAAGGTCTTGCGGCCTATGCTTTCTGGCATAGATGGCCCTTTTTGGCTCAGAACATTAGTATCAGCTGAAGATGCATGCACGGATGAGTGGGCACACTAATGTTGTGTAACCCGATGATAGGTACATACCAATTTACGAAGTAGGCGACTGAACGATAACCACCCTCAGACATGATTGTTTGTGACGAAAAATAATTGATGATTGGGATGAAAGACAATAATAAACCGAGGCCCGCAAGGAGAATGAGGTATTTGGGGACAGCTATATCCCTATGACGAAATATGGTCGTTGGTGTTCAGCAGGAGCTGTGATGAGGGGTTTGGTAAATCCGATCAAACACCTGCCCTTTATATACTCGTAATGACAAAGAAGGATATATAACGCTTGCTCTATTTCTTTGTATTAATCTGAACAAGCTATGAGAAAGGCGCTTGGCAATCCAATAAGGGTGGAACAGCTCAACGGCGGCCTCAGAAGCTGTCGTGGCTTTCGCCCCAGCCTCCACTTTGTATGCGCTGCCGACGCTGCTGACTGGCCAGCACCGCCTCATCGACAGCTCATCTTTTGCTTGTCCATGCCCGCAAATGAGCCGATGCAAGAACATGGACCGCTCTATTACCAGACTAATTTTGACCAATGAGCCAAGCATTTCATATGCCCCACGATGCACATGTAACCTGCTGACATGGGTTGTCTGCTTGTCACCTCAGCTGCTGTGCTCGACAGCCAGCTCAGTATGAGAGCAGTGGAACTCGACTTTCGTCCCAACGCTTCAACGCCTTAACGCGACATGAAGATGCTCTCAGCTGGTACATGCATCCGCAGTTTCGCCGGCAAGCTCATTGCGCCGATGCAACATGAGGACGTTGTTTACATCTGACCCCGTAACAAGGTTGACATCTGGATCAGGGTCATTCTGTGATTCCATAAGAATCTGTCTTGGCCTGAGCCCGCTTCCCGGGCAGAGACAATATGTGCTGTTGCCTTCATAAATGCCGTCCCTGCGGAAGCTTGGCGCCGCTCCTGGCTCCAGCGGCCGGTGATTGTGCTCATTGGCGTTGTCACTGATGATGCGCTGTGGGCACCAGATGCTAGCTTCGGCCTTGTTCAGCAGCTTGATATTGAAGTGAAAAGGGCAGCCAGTCTTCTACGTGCTGGTCTTCCGTCTCTTCGTCTCATGAACCCCTTCCTTGGCTGACGATCTGTATGGCCCTCCTTTGGCACAGCGGATTACCATCGTATGGAAATCACGGCCTGAAGGTTTCTTCTTGTGGATGTTGAACTCGTAGCCGTTTTCTTTGCCGAGCTGCTTGGCGCCGGCAACGGCATCTTGCCAGGCTGAATGAGAACGTTTAAAAATCGAGTCCATTGAGTAAGGCCTCAACTTTGTTCAATTTATTGAGAGACGTTTCTTTTGATGTGGGCTGGCAGCCTTGACCGTCGTTTGAAAAGTTCAGGTGTCTTACATTCCAAGTACTATCTAGTAGAGTACCTTGTGTAGGCGGGAGCGACAGCGGTCGGCGGCAGCTCATCTTTTGCTCGTCCTCGCCCACAAACGAGCCGGTGCCCATGTGCAAACTTGCTTTAGCTGCTTAAAAGGAACCTTGGAATATACAAAGTAAAGTCCACAGTTTCTTGCGGAATTGCTGTTGATCAGTTGGCTGCACGTGTCTGATTACTGTAGACTGTAATGTACATAACCTGCTGACATGATTTGCCTGCTTGTAACATTCAATCAGCTTTATCGCTGTGTACTAGCAATGTATAGGGAATATCTAACATAGACTACATGCTGTCTCATCACATCGTATTGGCAGCATTTTCAACTTCATTCTGACCTGCGCTATGATATGATTCCGTGTCAGATTCTGTAGCACCAGCTCCATGCTCTAGCAGCAGCTTGGCAATACCTTCCCGCTCATAAAGATGTGCCAAACATAGCGGCGTATGGCCATCTGCATTTACTGAATGAATCGCAGCGTCATTCTCCAGCAAGACCTTGACAGCATCTTCGCGCCCGAGAATAGTCGCAGCAGCAAGTGGCGTATGGCCGTATCTATCCAACGCGTCAATTTCCGCGCCGTTTTCTATCAGTACCTGGGCGATATTCGCATGTCCTCTTTGCGAAGCCCGATAGAGCGGCGTCCGGCCGTCTTGGTCTGCTGCGTCAATTTCAGCACCAAAACTCAGCAGGAGCCTGACGATATCCTCATGCCCGCCACTGGAAGCCCGAAACAGCGGAGTTTGGCCATAATGATTCGGCACATTAACGTCAGCACCGCTGTTCAGCAGCAGCATGGTTATATCCACGTTCCCAAATTTCGAAGCGTAACAGAGCGGTGTCCGGCCCCTCCCATCGGTCATCTTGACGCTTGAACCATTTGCTAGCAGCACCTTGACGACGTCGTCGTCTGTATGTCTAATTGCCTCAAAAAGCGGCGTGCGGCCCCAGTAGTCCTTCATATTGGCCTTGGCGCCGAGTTTGAACAGATGCTCAATCATGCCCCGGTGCCTTTCTCTAATGGCGCAAACGATTGGCGTAAATCCGCGATGGTCTCTGACATTCACGCTCTGCCCGTCTTCGAGTAGGCGTGTCGCTATCTTCTCCAATCCGAAATGCGCTGCAAGATGAAAGCCTATCCTTCCGCCCTCAAGGTCGTCGAAGAATCTCCGACCCCTTTCTAGCGCCTGGTCGGCGGCAGATACCTTGGCCCCGGAATGAAGAAACTCCAGGATCGGCTGTGTGTTTGTAGATGCACGAGCATGGTGGCCCCAGTAATTCGCAGCATAGTGGTATAGCACGTTTGACGCCAGCCGCTGGTCGTACTCGAACTGCGTCTTGCAGATGCCGCTTTCAAATGCGCGAAACGAGAGGTAGGTTACGCAGACTGTGGTGATATCTGTCTCTGCATCCGAAATCCAGAATTTCCCTTCCTTCTCAAAGTAGTCTTGAATTGTATAGTGTGCTAATCGCAAGACATCCCTCTCGGTGTCGTGCGTGACGAGGCCGGCATAGATGGAAGCCATGGTTTCTCTGTCAGGAATGAACTCCTCATCTAATTCCATATTTCCCGCCTTGACTGCGACGGCATGCTGGAGTTCAGTCATGGAAAGTACTCTTTTTGCGTGGATGAGCCAGGATATGACTTTTCTCGCCAATTGATACAAATGTTGCCCCTGGCTTTCGATCCTTGCTATTGCTTGCTGATATATCTTTCCCAGTGAACGAGGCAAATTCCGTAACGCTTGTCTGATATCGCCTACTGTCGGTAGCCGGGTTAAAGAGTCAACATGAAGCCTTACAAGAAGAAACCTGCGACCAGTCAGGCCTGAGAACGTTGGACTCTGAGTAGCATTTTTCTTTGGCACAAATAGCTCACATTCCATCAGAAAGTTGAGATATTTTGGTTTTTATCTCATTTTGTAAATCTGGCTTTGTCAATATAAAATTTGGAAGCCTATCCATACGGCTATCAAGAAATGCTTGCACATCTTCATCTTTCGCTCTGATCTCGAAGTGAACACTTTGATCAAAAGTATCGGCGATCTCTTGGACGAATCTCGAAGTCGCAAATATATTTACATTAGTTTCTCTTTGAAGCTTCAGAATCTCCGACAAAAAGCTTTTGCGACATCCATCTGTTTCTTGACACTCATCTAATGCATCGACAAGGATGAAGACTTTAGAGTAAAGACTGCTGACAGAATGCAATGCTTCTAGCAGCTCAGTCAAAGAGGGCCTTTTTTGAATCTCGTTATACTCGTCGTAGAGAATCTGCACACAATCAGGTATCCTCCTTTGTTTCTGAATTAGCTGTTTCAGTAGATTCGCGATAAGATCATTTGTTTTCTGTTCGTTATGCCTCCTGAAGTCGCAGTATAGGTACGATATTCCTACACTAGCGTCGTCTTTATATCGGCCGTAAAGAAGGTCATCGATAACTGCCGCGCTCATGATAGTTTTACCGGCTCCAGGGACTCCGGGGCAGAATAGCGTCTGGTTGTCAGACTTGAGCCAAGACAGATATTCGTCCGAGGCAAGAAACCAATGGCAAGTCCCTCGTTGACGAATCTTGATATACTCGCTCTGCTGGATGGCGAAGTCAATAGGTGCGAGCCATCTGAGTATGTTCTGGTGCTCTTGATCGTAATGTACGCTGAGAAGCTTTTCAACGCCATCAAACACATCTGCAACAATTAACACTTATTCGATATGCTCATTATCAACTGGTTGACACTGACTTTTTAGGACGTCGATAATTCGATTTTCCTCCTCAACCTTATTGGGGGGGATTCTGAATAAAAGGTCCTTGGTGTAAGCTGCGGCTGCCATTGCTGCGTAGCCTTGCCACTCTTCATTCTTATGAGAATCAGAATAATCGCAAATGCCACGAATAACTAAGCATGGAAACTGGTTCATTAGTCCAGCTGCTTCCATCTCAAAACATAAGACATCTTTTTCTTTGATTAGCTTGTCTCGTATCAGGGCGTCCTTCATCACTTGGTTTGCCGAGGCAATCAAGCCATAATGGATGGCCGGATTATCGTCCTCCTGAGTTCTGTCGGCCCGTATTACTGTATTCGATGAGATATCTCCACATGAGTTTGCACATCTTTCTTCGGTATGCAGAGGATGAATCACTGAGGATCGATATAATCTGTCAGTGGTTGGCAGCGGTCGCGCATATTTTCGACGCAGCCTCGGTAATTTTTCAAGAACGCCATTGATGCTCTCTTCAAGTTGGTGACCATGGATCTCATAGTCCGTTTCAAGTCCATTCACTGCGGTTAAAAGAAACGTTGGCGGCTGGTTCAGAAACCCTGTTGTACGAAGAGTCCCATCTTGGATCGCTTTGCCAAAGTCGTATTGGAAAACGCCTCCAGTTCCATCGCGAGGAGCACTAACCACGACGTCTCCAAGCCGTACATCATGCTTGGAACTTGGTGCGCCGCCGCCGATACCAACCATTAGACCGATCCTAACATTAGGAAAGCTGCTCAGCATGTTCTTTGCAACGCCTGTAGCGCTGGAGATGCCGTATTCTCCATTGGGCAAGACTGCAATAACTATATTGTGGCGTCCTATCCTACCTAATGCATAGTTATTGTCGTCGTGAGGGTGCACATGCTCCGGGGCTTGATGGTTCTCATCAAGAAAAATCTGCGCGGCAACGTATTCTATCTTTAGAGCACAGATCCAGCCGACGGTATAGTCTGCATGCGCCAGTTTTCGCTCAGCCGCTGTTCTTCCAGCAGAATCGCTGATTGAACGTTTTCTCTTCTCCCGAGCTGGAGCAGTGCTACTAACGTTTTCATCCCTATCCTTGGACATATTGCCTGATCGCCTTAGAACAAACACGCGAGGACGTTGCGAGAAAAGGGACCTACTGAAGCTGCTGCCGCCTCTGCTGCAGGGTCTATTGTGCGATACCGCTGGTTTGCATCTAAGAATTCGGAACATGTGTCGTTATCAAGGTGGTGGGGGAGACGATTGAGGTCCATATGAGGGTTAGAAGGCAAATGTTCATTCTGACCATGGTAGACGCGTAGGTGAGGGAAAGTCGCGTGCAGCGCGATGTAAGTCCTATGGAGAGTAGAAGGATACCTAAGTAGGTACGTGTATCTAGACTCTACAGAGTAATGGAGGCGGTGAAAGGCAAGTGGCCCTATCAAAAACGAAGTGAATATGAGGCAACCAACACACTAACCACTTTGGAAAGCAGCTTTTGGAAGCCTCATCTCAAGCTTAGACTGTTTGTGATTTGTGGGCAATGAGGGGGCGCAGAAGCAGGCTGCAGGTGATAATGGTCCTCAGCCGCTGGATTACAGGTAACCGTCCGCGGACCAATCAGCAGCACCTTGGTTGGACTTGCCAAATCCTACAGATTTTGATCAGAAAAGTGTAAAATTGAGTTCCGAACGGTTCTTGAAAGCTCGCTTCATCTCAACCATGTGAGAGTTCTCATGCCATGAATATATAAATGTATATAAATGTTGGTATATCCAAATGTATGCTTTTTGAAAAATAATCCAAGCTACTGCCACATCATCAGTTCGCCGTCTAGAGGCCTGTCATATACTAATCGCCGATCCTGCTGCTACGCCGATTACAAGGTATTTCTAAAGTCCAATGACCAAGAACATACTCAATTGATGTCTTTTATTTGATGTTATCCCACTGCCTATAGCATGGGTGTGGTAAGAGCTTCATTAACATTACTTCATGATAGTACTAGAGGGAATACAAATGCAAACAAAGGCTGGGTATCCATCACCGTTCTCAAACGCCGCCACTTCAGAATACAAAGACAAAATCCTCATTCTCGAGGTCCGTAATATCAGCAAAAGCCTTTCGGCCCTTGGCGTCCTCAGTTTGAACTCCGCTCTCCTCATCTTCTCCTTCAAGCCTGGTATCTCCGTTTTCCACAGAGAGTCTCTGGGTTCCCTCTCGCATCGCTCGCTCCAACGCCTCCATGCGCTCTACCTCCTCTGCAGTCTCTAGACTCATATCCAAAACAGTCGCACTCTTTCCCAGTGCCACTCTGCGCTTGGCGTGATGTGTGTTGAGATACTTCAGGTATAGTGATGTAATTCCCACAAGAACGATGACTATGGTGAAAAACAAAACGTTTGCGCGTAAGCCTCGTGAATATGAAGGCGCTTCGTCTGGCGTAAAAAGCAAGGGGCCAATAATATTACCGGCAGACGAGCCGATAAACACGAGCGCTGATGTACACTTTCGCTTTGTATCTCCAGCCGTATTTTGCGCCGACCAGGAATAGATGAGTGGTGCTGCTAGGTGTTAGCATTGCCAAAAAGCTGCAGAATTAAAAAACTTACTAATGCCTGTAAAAGTGGAAAGACAGAAATATCCTGCAAGCAAGACTGCTCTATGCTCAGCGTCATGTGGGAAATGCAGCAGAATCGAAAAGCCGATGATTGGCGGAATACACAAAATGGCAATGACCGGGCCTTTAAGCTTCCACCTCATTGAGACATACGCACTCAATGAAACAGCTATAACGTGAGAAAATCCAACTGGAACGTTGAACAATATTGTCTTGAAAGGATCTGTCACAAAACTGTGGATGATGAGTGGCCCAAACGTGGATATGCCGTTGGAGGGTACTGAGATGCAGAATATCATAGTGACCCATAACCAGGTTTTGACGTCTCTTAGAGCTTCAAAGAAGTGAGCGTACCTCCACTCTCGCGACATAACCCCCATCTGATTATTGCGTAGACGCTCTATAGCAATAATCTTGTCATTGTCGGTGAGGAATTTCGCTTCGGTAGGAGAATCCGGCATCCAGAAGAACATAGCCCCGGACACTGCGACCGTAACAATACCGAAGAAGAGGAAGATGATCTTGACCATGTTAGAGAAAGATATTTAGAGATAGGGTGGTCTTCTTTACCTGGTATGGCTTCAAAGATGAATGAATACTAGCAAGTCCATATGTGATAAGACTTCCAAACTACGCCTTGTTAGTGGTCAAAATATTACCAAAGTCAGCACCGTGTACTTACCACCCAAGTCAAGCCATTCATGCAGTACCAAGATCCGATCCTCAGCGTTTGCTCTCTACCAAATGGTTAGTATTTGGTACCCTATGACAACGGCCTTAAACTAATGCCTTACCTTCGTCTCCACCACATCTGTGTAATAGCAACAAAGGCCGGTCCCACGCAAGCCTCGAAAGCGCCCAAAAAGAAGCGGGCAGCCATCAGCTGTCCAAAGGTATGTGCCCACGTCATCAAAGTCAAAGTAATACCCCAAGCGAGTACCATGATGCTGGTAAATTTGCCGATGGGAAGCTTGACTAGGGCCCAAGCCAAGGGCAGCTGCATGATAAGCTGAGCCAGATAAACGATGCTGCCGAGCCACGAGAACTCGTCGCCTTTTAGACCTGTATCGCCGATCAGGCCAAATATCGATGCGTAGGATAGCGTGGCCTTGTCGAGAGCCTGGAGAAAGTATACGGAAAGCATAAGCGGAAGCAGAGCGAGATCGATGCGGCGAAGGATGCGGGCGTCGTCGGCGGGAGAAACCGTGATGACTTCGTCCGGTGAGCGGCCCAGCTTGATGAGCAGCATCGCCGCCGCATCTCGATGGTTTTTCAGCTGCGAGTCTGCATCAGATGCGTGAGATGGTCCATCGGGCCTCTCGCCCTCCTCGTTTGCGTCTTCATCTTGGTTCAAGGCCCGATAGGGATTGGGCGAAGCTGAGGACTGCGACGGCAGGGCGAGCTTGAGGGTCGTCGAGAAGAGCTTCGAAAGCATGGCGTCCAAGAAATGATGGCATCTAAAGATGGTGTACCCAAAAACAGAAGGGCTCGAATCTCTACCAAAAGAGCGGCTGCTGCGATCGCGTCAGGGCATGGATGAAAATGTTGAGAGAAAGAATGGATAACAAAGGAGAGTTCGCGATGTGCCGTAAGCATGTCAGCAGAGCTTAGGGGCCTTGATGACGTTCCGCTGCATGCTGTCAGGCACATCATCGCCAATCTTGGGTCACCCTGGGCGCTGAGCGCGGGCTGACAGGGCTCTTGTTTTAGCGCTCATTTGTTTAGCGCTCGTCTAAAATGCACGTGCTGAAGCATTGAAGCTCGAAGTCAGACATTGAATTATCAACCTTTGAACTTTCAGCCCATCAGCAAGTGCTGCCGAGATGCTGCAGTAATCCTACCGATAACTTGAACTCTGCTATTGAGTGACGGATGGCCAAGTCACCGCCTTATCGAGCATTAACGTTTGTAGCGGTGGCCCGCTGGCCGCAGACTTGATATGCATGCGTCGTGCATGCAGGCCGACTTGGGCGGCTATCTGACACGGATTATTGCTGGAATGTGACCTAACGGCTGGAGTCAAGGAAGCTGTCGATTGAGAAGCGAGAATCGAAAAATGGATGGAATGGGAAGAAGAACAGCAGCAACAACAAAGATGTCACAATATAGGCTATCTAGGTAATATAACCTACATTGGTCCGCCATCTTCCCCGCTTGAGATATTTAATAACTAACCTACGTGTAAGTGAGGCACTGACTACATACTACGTTGTCGGATCTCCTCGGAACCACAAATTGTCATAAAACTTCCCGTATCTTCCAACAATGCAATAGATGCCAGCAGGACCACAATGACATTGTGTTATTTAGTAAACAACCAAGAGCATTGAACTCAGTGGGATCCGTGTTCTCGCCCAGACCTTCGCACTGCGATGAGACACGGATCTTCTGTCGGTAGGAACGGAGATCGAAAAGCGAGAGAGAAGAAGTAGAAGAATGAATTCGAGCCCATCCAAAGTGAAAATTGCGTATCTACAGAAAAAGGCAGTCAAATCGAGGATTTTACTTGCGGGTGGTGTTATCCAATATATACACACACATCACACTTTGGAGCTTATCAGCCGTTCCTCGAGTACATCCTCCATCTGCCATGTCGATGTAACTCTGCATGCCATTTCCTAATCTGGGCAGTCATTATCTGGACAGCCATAATCTGGCTCTTCTAGTCTATCAACTAGTATTATATGGAATAGCCGCTCACATGCCGGTACAATCACTTTCCCCATTCCACTCCATTGCTGATTCGATGGAGTGGCTAGGCGGCAAGGCTTCGGCGGCAACAAAGTGGAGTTGCGGCTCGGTAGTTGCTCCATATTTGAGGTTGTCTACCAACGCAGGTAACCACTGGCAGCCTGGAGGTTGAATACGACTACATATTGGCGAATTCTGTGGCCATTGTGGTTGGATATCGGGACCACATGTATGTATGGAGCACTCCGGAGAGTGCATTCAATAAATGCACATGCAGGCAGAGCACCAACATGCATTGTGGTGTATGTAGGAACCCATGTAAGTGGTGTCTATTGTGACTTTACATTGTCGATGCCCGGCGCTTGCTCTGCTATTGATTCGCCGAGTCACTGATCTCGCGTGGATATAGCCTCTTCAGAGGCAGACAAAGGGCAAACACCTCGTATAATTCGTCCATGCGGCCGCAATTGTACGTGAGCCGCAAAGATATATGTCATCTTCTGACTTGAATTTAGGCCACTAGGGTTATCCTGCCAACTCATTTGGGACATTTCCTCCGAAGCCTTGCTGCACACGAATGAACCCACAGTGTAGATTATATTGGGCAGCTGATTGATGATGCCCCCGAATGGGTAAATTAATTGCATTTGATGCTGTCATTTTCAGCTCAGTCAAATACAATTGAAAACTGTGGATCAATGCCGCGGATAGCAATCACACAAACGGCCCCTTGGTCACTGCTTCTGTCGACCAAACCAACAGTCTGTTTCTGATAGAAAAGTGAGCTACTGCTCACTTGAATAAACACAGACCTTTCGTATCCATAGTCATCCACAAGTTATATAGCCCACATGAAATCGGCGATCAACAATCCGTTCCCAGTTGTTTCTTTCTCGGCTCACGCAGGCTCTGTAGATTGTCTTTTGACCATCCCTATTAAATCATCGCAAGAGCCATTACCATAACAGCGATATGGCAATCCTTTGGTTTGATCTTGACGTTTATGTCTTTCTTTTTGCCGGGCTGGTCATCGCAGTGACAGTCTATATCGTCTATCAGGCTGCTCTGCCCAAACCTTTGCCTGGAATTCCCTATAATGCAGAGTCAGCCTCAAGATTCTTCGGAGATGTGCCGCTGTTCAAGAAAGCAAGATATCGTCGACAGTGGTTATGGAACCAGCCACGAGAGCATGGAGGTCCGGTGTCTCAGGTCTTCCTATTCCCTTTTCGCCGACCGACTGTGCTCGTGACCGACTATCGCGAGGTTGTGGATATCTGCTCGCGCCGGTCGAAAGAATTTGATAGGGGCAATAGGAATAAAGAGTGTATTGGGGTGGTGGCTCCAAACTTTCACTTTACGATGCAGACTGCGGATCCTCGACTCCAATTTCACAAGAAGCTTATCCGAGATCTGATGACACCCAAGTTTCTCAAAGAGGTTCGTCTTGACGTTGTACACGTAATTACAGGCAAGAAATTGTATGCTAAGGACAGTGTTAGGCATCGGCACCTCAAATATATGAAAAGGCTACTGCACTAATCGCATTGTGGAAGTTGAAAGCGTTCAAAAGCTATGGTAGACCGTTTTCAGTGGGTAATGATCTCTATTCAGCAACACTCGACATGATATGCGCCGTTGCATTCGGAATGGACGACACAAGCTCTGCTCTACAGCACGAGATTTCTCATATACAAAGCATTAACCCTACCTTTCCTATCGTCAAGGGGGAACCTGCCTGTTTCTCATCAGCGCCTGTCACGCCCGAACTCGAAGGACTCTTCAACATCCCAGAAATGGTGTCGATAGCCCAAGCAAGCCCCTTTCCTTCACTCTCGCAAACCCTCGCGTTGCTCAACCCAAAGCATGCGCGGGCTCATTGGAACAGGAAAACTCTGATTATGCGCCAGACAGACAAGAGCCTGCAGAAACTTACTTTGGGAGGCTCATCTGAATGTAAGAGTGCTCTGGATCAACTGTTATGGCGAGAAATGAATGCCGCGAAGATGGCTGGACGACTACCAAATTACTATTCACCTGTGATTCGAGATGAGGTAGGTTCATGGCAGATGTTTTCCTCTGAGAGCCCGTATGCTAATGAGAAATGATCTATACAGCTTCTCGGATACCTTCTGGGCGGCCACGACAGCACAGCCGCTACCTTGTGTTGGTGGGTGAAATACATTTCAGCCTACCAGTCGGTCCAGACTCGACTTCGAGATGCCTTACGACAAGCTCATGTTGATGCTTACCAAACGTCTCGACTACCCACCATCGACGAAATCTGTGATGCATCTATCCCATACTTGGATGCCGTCATGGAAGAAACTCTCCGATACGCCTCTGTTGCAACGCTCATCGTCCGAATGTCCACTTGCGACACGCAGATCTTGGGGTATCAAATTCCCAAGGGCACAGACATAATGATGTCGTTGACGGGCCCATCAATCACGGAGCCTGGTTTGCCGATTCGCGAAATGTCGCGCTCTTTGGAGTCGCAGGAATCCAAAGACAAAGTTCTTCCCTGGGAAGAAGACATATCCCAGTTTAAGCCAGAGAGGTGGCTTAAGCTGGTGAAGAGTGCCGACGGTAAAGAAGAAGAAGTGTTTGATTCGCGAGCTGGGCCGAATCTTGCCTTTTCAGCCGGGCCTAGACAGTGCTTTGGAAAGAAGCTGGCATATATGAAGCTGGAAGTGGTGATGACGCTGTTGATATGGAGCTTTGAGTTCCAAGAGCTTGATGAGTCGTTGAACGGGCCGGATATTATAGAGAAGCTGGTAAATCTGCCAAAGGATTGCTATGTCAAACTCGCGAGGGCGTGATTGAAGCGGTACTGCTGGACTTGTATCTTAATACGTACACCCTTTCATCTGCAGGATACTTGTGACTGGGTGCTATAGAAAATTTTTATGTAAATAGATGATTCAGACACAATAACCAAATGATCCCATCAGCTTGCTACTTACCTTTATGAAATCTAAGAAAAGAAAAGAAAAATCTAGCTATTTTGTAGAAGTAGTTCGCCCGTCTATCTCTATCTGTTTTTACCCACAATCGCCATCCACAATGCATGTATGTATGCCTCAATTATTGAATCCCGGTATGTGAAAGACTCTCAAGCGGCCTCAACAAGCGCAATAGGAGCAGCTACCAATGGTTCCAGAGCTGCAGCTTCAGCTTCGCGAGCCTCAGCCCATTTGTTCAAAAGGCTCAGATAGCCCTGCCAGAAGACGTTGATAGCGCCGGTGAAGAGGGATCGATACTCCAGCGGCACAAAGCTAAGGCTAAAGGCCATGACAATAGGCCATATCTTGCAGGAGTTAATCCAGCTTGTGAGCAAAGTGTCTCGGACGCGCTGGACGGCGCCGCTGATGCCGTCGCCTGCGAGCAGAGCTTGCATGCTGAAGAAGTAGATGTTGATGCCGGGGGCGAAGATGAGCTGATTCATGACGATCTTGACTCCCAGAGAGAGTGCACGGGATGTATAGTTGAAGTGTTTGGCAAGAAACATGAACCTTGAAGTGAGAAGACGGCCAATTAGCATTGTGTAAAAAACTCAATAGAGGAAAATGTTGGACTCACCATGAATAAGCGGGAATAGCCGTGCCGGCTCCGATGATGATATTTCGGACAGTCCTCGCAGGATCGTATTCATCATCGTTCATGCTCTGGGCGCCCAGGTCGGCAAAGAAGAAGATGAACATTGAAGTAATCGTCTGAGTCACATACGGCCTCCTTTTCTGAGATCGGCCATATGCCTGAGCCGCGCGAGTTACGGGCCCCAGACGCAGCCATAGTGGACGAGAAATGACTGCATTTTGTGCTGATGTTGATGTTGCCTTTGTTGCTGCTGCTGCTTTTGCTTCTGTTAACGTGGCTAAGCTGCTGCTGTTTGGTATTTGTTTTGAGATTTTGTCTTGAATTTGCGATGATGGCTGTGGTGGTGAGGATGACTGGGCACGGACTTGGTGCCGGGGCCGGAACGCCAATTGAAGTTGCCGCCGGATAAGAGAGCGAAAAGGAGACGACGCCATGCCTGGGGACTGCTTTTTCTAATGCTTTTTCTTGATTTTTCCTTCTTTTCCTTCTTTTCCTTCTTCGTTTTCGTTTCAAGTCTTTGCGGTTAAGCTGACAAGTCAAGTGAGATCATGGTTTGAATGAAACAACTTGTTCCACCCGGGCCGGGGGTGAGACTCTTTGAATATGAGCAGCAATTGTCATTATAAATACGGGTCTAAGCCGCGCCTTTCCTTGACTAGTTTCTCTCGATAAGGCGTCTTCGGCGTCGGCATCGGCACCATGGCTCCGTGGCCTGCCATTTGTAAGCCGTAATAGGAAATTTCCGGACCTGAGGGCTCAAACCAAGCTGTGGCTTGAGCCGGAAACACAAGGCTCGTATATATTAACTGACATGCCCTTTGCCCCAATGCCGGCTATGCCTAAGTAGTCTACCTATATCTTTTCCTCAAAACGCTGCGAGACTAAGATACGTTTCAGTCTGTTCGACATCGCTTCTATTCTGTCAAACTGCCCGTCGATGAGCCCTCGCTACCCATCGCGGCTATACTCAATCCCGGCATGGAGCCCGCAATACTATTTACTAGTATTATGGAGAAGGGCAGTTGTGCCATCCAATAAGTCGGCCGTTGTGAATTATGCAGAAGCGAACATACATAGGGCCCAGCACAACGCGGTTACAGACGAGGACTAGCCTCGAGCGTTAATCCCAGCAGCTGCTTGGAGAAAATCAGGAGCTTCCTCCGCCAAAAGCTTCCACCCCCCTCACCGATTAACCTCCCAGTTAGCGTGGAGCTTACAGGCACAACGAGCTTCCCGTTGTCCAAGGTACAGTATAGATCTGTATATCGTGGCTCAGCATCACCAATTATAAAGCCTTCGCGTCATCATCACCATGAGCGACTCCAGCCTGACGGAGACGGACACCCAGGCGAGCCGCACGGCGGCCAGCCAGTCGACGTCGACGCCGTCCGTCAGCGGCAGCGCCGACACCTGCACCAGCCCAAGTGGCGGGAGCTCAGCCAGTGGAAGTGGCGGTAACATCATGATGGACGACCTCTGGGTCGCGCTGCCAAAGCCCAGCCAGAACCACGTCCCGGAGTCGCTGCCGGACCGCATCCGCCGCATCAGAGTCGACCTGGAGGAGCTCGAGGTCTTTTACAGCGTCTCCGTGTCGCCGGGCCGCCACGAGCGTCTGCGCCGGTACTTTTCAGACGAGCTCAAGGCCCTGTTCAGCCTCGACTTTGAGGCCATGAGCCAGTCCGACAAGGTCGACTTTTTGCTGCTGCGCAACTTTTTGCGGCGCAAGTCCCACTGGCTGTACGCCCAGAAGGAGTCCAACAAGGAGATCCAGCGCCTGATTCCCTTTGCCCAGCTCATCACGGCGCTGTGCGAGGCCCGGCGGGACGTTGACCCGATCAACAACGAGCGCGTGGCCCAGCAGCTCGACGACATTGCCAAGCTGGTCAGCCAGGTCAAAGAAGGCATTGAGAACGACCGCATCAAGATCTCCAAGACGGCGGCCTACAAGGCGTCCAAGACGGTCACCGAGCTGCGCGGCCATCTGCAGGAATTCTTCAGCTTCTATGCGTCGTACGACCCCATGTTCGACTGGTGGGCCGCGGCGCCATGGAAGGCCGCCGACCTTGCATTGTCGCAATTCATCCCGCTCATCAAGACCAAGCTGGCGGGGATGCATGAGGGAGAAACTGGGGACATCATTGGCGAGCCAATTGGCCGGGAGGCGCTGATCAACGAGCTCGAGGCCGAGATGATTGTCTACTCGCCCGAGGAGCTCATCAACCTGGCCAAGGAGCAATTCCAGTTCTGCGAGGCACAGATGAAGACGGCGTCCGTCGAGCTTGGCTACGGCGATGACTGGAAGAAGGCCCTGGACTCTGTCAAGAAGCACTTTGTCCCTCCTGGCGAACAGGCAGGCTTTGTGAAGCAGCTGGTCCGCGAGGGCTCGTCCTTTGTCAAGGAGCACGATCTCGTCACCGTCCCCCCGTTGGCAGAAGAGGTGTCCCGCATGACCATGATGAGCCCCGAGATGCAAAAAGTCGCGCCCTTCTTCTTGGGTGGACCGCTCATCATGGTGTCGTATCCCACCGCCGACATGTCGCACGAGCTGAAGAAGATGGTGATGCGCGGCAACAACAGACACTTTGCCCGCGCAACGGCGTTCCACGAAATGATCCCCGGCCACCGCCTCCAGCTCTTCATGTCCGAGCGACACAACAGCCACAGGCAGCTCTTCACGACGCCCTTTAGCATCGAGGGCTGGGCCATGTACTGGGAGTACGTCTTCTGGGACCGCGGCGACTTTTTCGAATCGCCAGAAGACCGCATCGGCACTCTGTTCTGGCGAATGCACCGCTGCGCCCGCATCATCTTCTCCATCAAGTTCCACCTGGGACAGATGACGCCGCAGGAGTGCATCGACATGCTGGTCGACTGGGTTGGCCACGAACGGTCCACGGCCGAAGGCGAAGTCAGACGGTCCTTCAACGGCGACTACGGCCCTCTCTACCAGGCCGGCTACATGGTCGGTGCCGTGCAGCTTTTCGAGCTGCGAAGGGAGATTCTGAAGAACGGCCACTTGACCGAGAAGGAATTCAACGATGCCTTCCTCAGGGCCAACTTTATGCCCATTGAGCTGTTCCGAGCGCTGGTTCTAGATTTGGAGCTACATCCCGATTATACGCCCAATTGGAAGTTTTACGAATAAATGATATGAAGTTAAAGCCCTGAATCACGAAGTTAAGCCTTGAAATCACGAAGTTAAAGCCATGGAACGAATCAGAAACGGAAAGCGATACAAAAAGCAAAATTGAAATTGAGCAAATTTTTTTATTTATTTATATAACTCGGTTTTTGGAATTTGGATTACAAGTTTGGACTCTCTTTGTTTTAGTTTTTTTTTTTTTTTGGTTATCTAAAGGGAAAGTGTATTTATATCGCGTCTGCATGCATCTGCATCTGCTCTTGAATCTCGTTTAGCAAAGTTTTCGCACCAGTCACGGCAAACTGCATAGCAAGCGATAATTTACCTACATGTAGTTAAAACAACGGTTTTTCTTTTTTCTTTTCTTTTTTTTGGTTTGGTGTCTAATGGTGTGTGATGAGAGATTTTTACATATCCGTTACTCAAATTTATTGCCTCCACAGCGTGTGTCCGTCTCTGTTCTTCCGTTAACCTGGCGTAGAGGTAACTGCCAAATACTGGGTATACATATCAAAATAACAGTAGTAGTAGCAGTAATAGCAGTAGTAATAGCAATAGGAGCAGTAGCAGTAGCAGTAGCAGCAGCAGTAGCAGCAGCAGTAACAGTAGTAGTAGTAGTAGTAGTAGTAGTAGTAGTAGTAGTAGTAGTAGTAGTAGTAGTAGTAGTAGTAGTAGTAGTAGTAGTAGTAGTAGTAGTAGTAGTAGTAGTAGTAGTAGTAGTAATAGTAGT